TATATATATATATATATATATATATATATAGCCACATATGCCAATAAGTTCTGATTTAGTCGACCAGTCATACTCTTTCCATTCTAGGCACAATCTTTATCTTCACCTCATAAAATAAGTGGCAAATTTTACATAAAAATGTATACTTTTACCTGTATCTCTTTCCAACTGTTCTCCAAATGAAATAACAGGAATTGCTGATGCGAAAAATATATATGTGGTGGGGGCCAAAATCCTACAAAGAATTATACAATTATAAAACCAACATCAAGCAAAAATTTGTCACAAATAATCTGAACAGCTGCTTTTGTGCTTGAACCGTGTAATCTGATATCTCTTGTTTCTATGGCAATATGTAGCTCTCCAGTGTTTGTAATGACAAGACAACAAGGTACCTGAAACCTGCCCCGAAACCACCAGTCCAGTCTTGCTTGTAGCACTTCAGTCTCCCTCGAAGGTCATTCTTGATTCCACGAAATGGAACAAAGCTCTCTTCCATTGTTTGTTGTGCGAACTAAGACAACTAAGTGCTCTCTTGAATTCTGGAACTATGGTGATAGAAGTTTAGAAGTTGTTGCAAAGATACAACATTCATAGTGCCATTATGGTACGTATAAGCTGGTCATTGGAGGTACGCACAATCTTAAATCTGTGTAGACAAGAAACCCATATGGCAAAATCAACTCAAGCTTTAGAAAGATGCTAAAAAAAAAACGGCGCTACAAGAGAACCCAGATAGAGATTTAAATTGTATATATATAACACTAACAGGAAAACGGAAAAAATCTTGACATCATTAAATCAATATTCAGTCTCACGGGGTACACTTCAAAACCCGGAATAAGAATGCTGAAGAAATTTAGAAATGATTCAAGCATTGGACGTTTAAGTTACAGAAAAGACAACCCTTTTAGCTTACATCGAAGATTTACCTTCTCAGAGAAATGTGGACACAGAGAAGAGTTGCAAGGAAAGCTCCAAATATATAGGCCTGAAACAACGGAGTTGAGGGAATTTGACTGTAGACTTTTGAGGCTAAGAGTAATGTGGGTCAACAGAGAATGAAATGAACATCACTGTCAGTGCACAACAGCAAGAAAACAAATGCTACATTAAAGCTTGTAGCAAAGGAAGCTCAAAAAAGTTAGTAGCATTCAAGGAAAAAAATGTAAATAAATGAAATGTTCAAGTGGAAAAACAGGAGATTCAAAGTAGACGCATTATAGAGTTCTCACCAATGCCAGAGAAAGGAAAAAATGTTGGCTTTTCTCTCTTGCCTTAAAAGAGAAAGAAAGAGTTTTTAGAGATGATAGCCTTAAAAGAAGGCTTTTTCATTGCACATGAGAGAGAGGGAGAGAGAGATAATGCCAGTCTATGACAAGCTGTCTTGCAAAGAAGCACCCAAGAAGTAGCTTCTCTAACCTGCACAGTATATTTCTTATTGTTACTTTCCCTGTTGGTTGAATAATTTATCCTACTTTCCTGATAAGGCTTTGAATAATTTATCCTGAAATCGAAAAATTTATCTTTTGTGCATATACTGTATCTTTATTGAAGAATAAGCTGCAACATGCTGGTGCTTTTAACTCATCTAAAAATGCAAAAAAGTTGTAGTTGTTGGAGATGGATTCTCTCTTCATTCATGGTATGTCACTCAAGACTCAAGATAATACTAATCAAATGATATTTTGGTGCCAATCATAATTTGTCTTAACTTCTTGCCTTTTGTATGGTATAATACTGATCTTAGGATTCAGATTTGAGATTTTTATTCAATACTACTATTGTTTTTATCTGCATTACTTTTTTGACCTTCTGTTCATGAATTGGGGATGGATTCCTCGGCATGTTTAGTGGTTCAATCCCAAAACCTTTGTCATTTTCCTCTTTATTCGTCAAGAAATTGTTGTCACAACTTGGAAAATACTAATTTTTATCAGAACTATGATCATACTACCAAATAAGATGACAGTACAAAAAAGTGTCAACCACACTCAAGAACAGAGAAAGCCAAGAAAAAGTATTTTGAATTGTTCTACTACCAATTGGCTAGACAAGGGGGAAAATGGGAAAAAAAAGGGTAGCTAAAGGCAATTTTGAATAATATAAAAGATGATATAATTATATTTTTGGAGCATCTTTTTCAGAGTTTGACAAGAGGGAGAAAGATAATAAGTTGAGGGGTTTCCCTCCCTTCATTCATTGCAAATTTGCAATCACAATCCAATCCTAACAAGTAACACCATCAAGGTTTCATACTAATAAACTTAAAACTTAAAAAAACTTGGCTCAACTTCCCATATTCCAAAGTACAAACTACAACATAAAAGAATAATAAAAATGTGAGAATTTTTCTTGGTTTTCCAAGAAAATTTATAAACATTAAATCTAACATAGTAATACAAATAAAAAAGGGTGTACATGGATGAATGTTGCTAGAGTGAAACAAATGTTGACCTTAATACATGCCGTACGATCTGCTGAAACATCCTCCTTCCGTATGGTCCAATCATGATCTCTTCTTCCTGGATATTAATTGTTTTATTAATGTCTATTTTATAAGTAATAGTTTAAGCCTTGGTATCTTAATCTTGGGTATACTATTACATGAACATGTTCCTTCTGAATTATTGTAAGAAACAGCATTTTTTATTTCCCATAACTTAAGGGGACATAGCATTTTGTCTTCCAAGAGGCAAAGGGAGAATAGAAAATGGGTGTTTATGGGCAATCCTAGAAGGCCCGGTGAACAGATTCTTCTGTTGCATTGTCGGGTTTCAGAAGGCCTGATGGACCCAAAGTGTCAACTCCAAGAAGGCCTGGCCTTGCTGCGCTGCCCGACTGGTGATAGTTTATTCTCCAAACGCATGGCCTTGCTGCGCTGCACCACTGGTTAAGCACTCTTCACAGGATTCCAATTCATTAATTTTGTTCTGTTAAGAAAAGGGTTTTAGAAAAAGAAGTATTTATTATATCAAAGTGATGGCAAATGTGGTCCAAGTAAATATTAGTTTAAGTTTATCACCTGTGCAGTGAATCATGGTGATGAGGACATTGAGGAGTGGGCCCCTTTTTTCTTTTATCAAAATTGTTGGTTGTTGAATTTCAGAGTTTCAGCTGATGAATTTTGGCACGTCTACCCTTTTCCCCCCAACAAATGGCATTTGCCTCCCTTTAGGATGCTTCTGCCCAAACCAATGACTATGCAGCACATGCCTGGATCGCTCAAAAACCTGATCACTCTTAAGCATTTCTTTTTCTTTTGGGTTTAAATCTTTAAACCCATTTTTCCTCATTCACAACGAGCTGCAAGATGTAAACAGGGCCACGTAGGACCCAAAGCAGCTTGACCTCCACTCAAGCCATGAACTGAGACCTAGTGTTCAGTCTTCACAATCATTCTCCAACATCATTAGCTATCAACGAACATCAAATGCCTAGCTGCTACAGAACTATAGCAAGTGATTGGCAATAACTCCAAAGTAATCCGCCCTTTGGAAACTGAACTTATCTGTCATCATAATTGGCTAGCCATGGTGCAGGATCCATATTCATTGAACAGTTGACGAGGAACAAGCTACACCATCCACCCGTAATCATTACGAGACTGTGGAGCCCTTTCCATTCCATGCTTTCTGATGTAAACTTGGAAGCTGTACCAACGAACCTTGATATGCAAGAGTATGCATGTATGATCATATGTTCGATTATCGTGTAATTTCCACTCAATGAAGATGGAATTACACTGGCTTGCTTCTTTGTTTTACGCTTTGTGTTCGTCTATTATTGTCTAATTTGATTGATAGATTAAATTGTTTTTTTAATGAGTAAATTAATAATTAAAAGATATTAATGTGATGTTATTTATAAATAAAAAAATAATCATATCATAAAATTTTAATTTTAACGAGACAATGAGATTAAAATAAAATTTAATATCAAAAGTGAATCGAGACCGATGAATAACAATCGTGTGAAGTCATTCTACTATCTTTTAGCAGAGCATTTTGTTTTGGCATGGATTGAGATTTGAGGTCAAATGCAATCACAAAGTCGGTTTTGGGGGCTCCCTTCTTAATGATCTTGTCTCCCGCAAACTCTAATTTCCATCATTTTAAGATACTCATGGGGAGGGCCATGCACAGATATATATAGCTCCAAAAACCAAATGGTAGCCCAATTGTCCCAGCCTGCTTGATTAAGGTTTTTAGCAGTGAAACACAGAGATATTCCTATCAGCAAAGGTGGCTCAATTATCTTATCAATATGTTTGATTAAGGTTTTAAAGAGTTAAAACACACATGATATATTCTTATCAGCAAAGGTAGGTCAGTTATCTTGTCAGCATGGTGGGGCGGTTTCAACCTTTGCTGCTGTTTTTCGTTTTGTCCAGGCTTGTTTAGCGTCTTGTAACTATGGCACTTGGCAACATTACAGTACAAAGTAACGACATTGAAGTTGGACCCTGCAAGTAATTTTATTTTCATTTCACATCAGTTGCAAAGGGGAAGGCAGATGTAAGGTAGTTTGTGGCTATAAGAAATCTAACATCCTGCCGTTTGTCTTTTCTAGCCCCAAAACCGAGACTTGATTTCTTGCCAGCTTGCCGTTGGCCTTGCCCCAGAGGGAAGTGGGAAGCAGAAGGTTTATCGAACTAAGCCAATCCAAGGTCTTCCAGGACTCAGGTTCGAGACAGTCACAGTCGACCTGAGCGGCCGTTTAGGGTTGCATGTATTAATTATTATTAACCAATTCATCGAAAACTAGAGAGAGATTAAGGAGAGATACCCAAAGCCTCATCTGGCCAAATTAGATAACTCATTATTAATCAGCATACCATTTACATGGACAGAGGGACTCAAGAGTTAGCTTCTCCTCTCCATCATACTTCTTACACGTTGCAATACACGAACAAATTCATAAAACAAAGAGAAGTCAAAGCCTGGCAGCCTATCATCTTCTGGACCCGTCATGGAACTGCTAGAGTTTTGACAGATTACGAAGTCAAAACCGCCTAATTTATCAATGAGGTTCTCAAGTTTTTTACTGGTTAGCTTTTGAATGTCTTCTATCAGCACCAACTCTCCAGTTTGTCCGGTACTTTGCCACCAATTCTTAAGAATACTTTGCCTAGCTTCAGATGTCTCTACAGAGACAACACCTTTCAAGTGGATGCCCAGCCGATGCAAAGTAACCACAGCCCCACCAATGCCGCTAAAAACAGATAACATAGTCAACCCTCTAGGATACATTGACCTCAAAACAGAGAGATGATAACCCAAAGTGTCAGTTTGGAACGATTGCTTGAGTAATTGTAGCCTTCGAGTCGAGTCATTCTCCAGAGCTTTAGTGTGGTTCAATGGGTAGCCTAGAATATGCTCCCAATGTCCAGGCTCTGCAAGGCCCAACTTGTACGGGCCAACCCATACGAGATTTGATATCTTGCAATGACGAAGCATGTCTTTCTGCTGATCTGATGAAAGTACTCCTCCAGAATCAGCTACTATCTTCCCAAGCCTATCACATAGCTTTGATACTCCATTAACTTCACAACCCATGCAACTCAACTGTTTCCTTGTATCCCAAGATGGCCACCACTTCTTTGTATGCGGCAATGCATCCTGTAAAGTCAATGGTGACTTTGGAAGGATGTTAAACCTGTTTCCCCCTGGAAGATTGTGTACATAGCCTTCTGTTCTGCTTAAGGCAGAGAAAAACTGAGTGTTCACAAATTCAGGCTCGATTCCGTACAAGAACTGTGAAACCTTGGCCCAACAATCAGGAGACATATTGACAACATTCCCATAAAAAAAATATGGAGGTTTGGCTACCATCTTGTCCACACTCTCGCATGAATTGGATTTGAAAGGTCTGGGCATCTCAAATCTGATGATATTAGGGTTTATTTTCTCTTCAAGCCATGCTGGATCAAGGACAGAACTTGTATTATCTACATAGTCTTGCCTTGGCCTTTTCCCTTTGTGCTTTTTCTCATAACTAGATTGCTTGAACTGAGGAAGAGAAACTGGGAAGTCATCAAAACTTTCTTCTTTAGGTCTTTTCCCTTTGCATGATTCCCCTATGTTAATATTTCTTGACTGAGGAACAGCACTGGAACTGCAATCCTCAGTTTCAATCTTCACTGTATCACATGAGTTATGTATCAAGCCTCTGCGCAGAGCTGCAGATGTGAACTGCACATGACAATGTAAAAGTTTCTTTATTGTGAAAACCAGCTCTAATAAAGCAGAAGGAAATTACACATTCTTAATTAGAATAAAGGGCAGAAGAAGAAACAAATTTTAAAGTAGTACATTTTTTAAGTATTTACTTCAATGAATGCCCAACAATGTGCATTTAACATCTAATCAATACAATGAACAAACCTTTTTACTTTCAGTGTAGTTACCAGCAATTTGACCAGTGAAAATTGAATCCGCAAGCTCTGCAATTGGAACTTCTGAACCTGCAGAACAGCAAACAACCAATACTTTAACATCCAAAGAAAGTACAACAACAGAGTTGGTTCCCTTGACGTGAAAATAAAGGTGGAAGTGGCTTTATGTGCATCTGCAGGTTAGATAAATACAAAGGCACCAGTCAAAGAAAGTATAAACTATAAAGCAAAGGCTGTAAACAGAAAGAAAGAAAGAACCGCATTACTATTAAAACCTCTAAGAGCATCTCAGAAAAGCCTGTTTTGTAATCACAAACTATTTAAAAAATAACTGGGACTCCGAACCACGAAGTGTGTTTTTAATCTAAAACTAGCAGCACTTTACATGATACCCTACAGATCTAAGCAACATAGCCGGCCTGGATTAAGACATAGAGAGTATGCATTTTAAATTTATAAAATCTAAATGGGAAATGGCATTCATAATTATTCAAAGTGGTCAGAATAACTACTCACCAAACTTCTCAATTGCTATTGAAACTTCATTCTCGGAGAAACCCATCTCAAGCAAGTGAAGTGTCTTCTCCATCGTCCCAAACAGAAATTCATTAGTAACATTCTGGTAATCATATTGTCCAGCAAGTATTAGCTCCTCTTGAAATGATATGAAACGGAGAAATCACTACTTATTTTACTGAAAATGATAGTTAATTATACTTATGTTTCCAGGAATTTTATGTATAAATATATGAGACAGTTACCAATTTCCTACACAGCTTGAACCAGTAAAAGAAAAACACTATATAAAAAAAATCGTAACAAGTAAACACTGTTATCAAACCAATTAGTATAATTTAAATGATAATTAAACCTGATCCTTTTCTTCCTCACTGCTGAGTGAATCTTCTGATTCCTTCTCAAATTCTTCTGCTATTTGAGCAGCTGCAATGAAGTCCACTAATTCATTTAGTGGAGCATGTTCACCTGAAATTAGAAATGGTAATCAGCAACAAAACAACTTATGTAAATAAATCTCGAATAAAGTAACTTCTCCATTCTTCTTCTTTATTAACGTTCCAAAATATTATGAGAACAGAAATTAACTATTCATCACATAACAAATGACAGAAGTGGTAGAGCCCAAGGTGCAAAAAAGAAACAAAAACGGCGTCTGAAAGAAAAAAAATAAAGATAAAAGAGTTTCTGAGATTTTCTACATACCAAGTTTGTCCAATGCAAACTCGATTTCATTTACAGAAAAACTCATCATCAGTAAAGATGCTCTTTTGTCAACATGAACTTCATCAAATACATTAGGCTCCTGAAATATATAAAAAAAGAAACAGAAGAGATAACAGGGAAGAAAGGGTGTTAAAAGATAACCCAAAAGCATATCCAGTACAAAATATGTAAAAGATTAGCATACACAATACTCACAAGACTTAGGTATTGAGCAATTATTCAATTACCACACCGACCAATGTATTAAGTTGAGAAAAAAGAAGGAAAGAAACTGGCTCCATGAGAACTCAAAAGAGAGAAAGGCAAGGAGCCAATGCCATAGCTGAAAAAAGAAGGGATAGGTAGCAAGTTAACATTTTGGTCTCTAGTCCCAGAATAAATTGTTGCCTTGCCCATGAATCTCACAAGTATCCCAAAATTTATATGCTTTTAAGACATTTTAAACTAAAGAGATTCTCAATTGGACAGGGTTACTATTGGCCCCAGAGCCAGAAATTACAAGTTTCAAAGTTTCATTAAAATCTACAGATTCGAATCTTAAATCTTCCAGAAAGTTCTTGGAATCCTTCAAATCTCTGTACTGTGGTCTTCCTCTTTCTTTCTTTTCATCTTTAATGCTGTATGAGAAAGGGGGAATGGCGGTAGCATGGGCAATTAAATCTATGGAATATAGTAGCTCACTAAACAATAAGCAAGAAACTATAAAAAGAAATGTCAACAAGAACAAGAATAAAATGCCCAAGACAAAGAAGATGGGCATATCTAGTCCTCTCGGGAAAGCAAAAAGATCTATTAACAGCAAGTTACCTCTTTTGGTTGAATATAAGTGGAGATTTCTGGACAACGGCCTCCATCCTTGTCAGCAAATAAGCTATCCAGAGAAGCTGATGGGTGAGTGTTTACTTTTCGAACATCCTATTTCATTCCAGAGAAGGCCCACATTTAGCTGTTAAAATTTTGTATCTTAAAGAACTGCAAAAAAACAATTAATTTCATTTGAAACTGCATATTAGCCACTAATAAAAGAAAGTTTTAGAAGGTTGTGGAGACCAAATCAATTGCACTGGGGATATGTTCAGATCAATAACAATTTTGTGCCATAAACAATTAAGTTAAAGATTTAGAATCGATTAAAAAGATGCTGTGTAACAACTGACATAATTGAAAACAGCAAAGCTTGGGTAACAGGGACATAGCCTATCACCTTAACAATGATTCTACACCCTTGGTGTCATTGTCATAAAGGTTTCTATACTGAAATGCATAGCAAGAAGCATATAGTATTAGGAAGTGTTAAGAAATAGAATTCATATGCATCTCTATGATTACATAATCCTAATTATAAATTTTGGCCAGTACATTCTCTTTGAAACAAAGGACCTTTAATAAGCAGAACACAATAAAATTAGCCTACTAGCAACATGGTTAAGTTCATGATGTCACGTGCTTCTCAAAATTTACAAATAACAAAGAAACTGAAAGAGAGAGAGACAGAGAGAGAAATGCTGATGATGATGATGAAGGCGAAGTATTAAGATGTTCACAGACACCTTTAAAAGTTCTTTTCTATATGTAAAAAAAAAAAATCATGTACTGAATTGAAACAAAGTAAGGAAATTCTTTCAGAGTTCTTCTCTAAGTGTTGCCAAAAGAACGTCAGATATAGCACACAGTTTCTTATTACTTACAGCATATTCAACAAGAGTCTCCAGTAACAAGTCAGCATTGTCTTCACCTAGATTGAAAAGAAGATGCTCACTAATCATGATCTTATAAGAAATGCTTATTCACTATCAGTTCTAATAAACTAGAAAAGTATCAGAGATTTATACATAAATATAATTCCGGAAGTTAGTGGATTTTCATTCTTTTTCAATTAAATTTTATCATGCCATTATTTTGCCACCCAACCCATCCAAAGTCCCCTACCATTTCCACTAAAGATCAAATCGAATGGGATGCATGTTCATGCATTACATACCCTTTTCTTCAATGACTTTCTCAACGAGAGATGGCGAAAATCCCATCCCAATGAAAAATGATCTTACATTGCTTCCAGATGAACTTGCAACGTTGTGCTGAAATCAAGTAACAAGAGAAGATGAAAACAGAAAGTTTCAGGTATCAAGGGAATGTCGGAGAAGGAAGAGAATGGTTTAGGTCTATTGCAGCCACCAACCTAAGAATCCACTAAGAGAGGTTGAGGCAGGCAAAGAAAACCCAATGTTCACTCATAATGCTATGCACTGTGTTCATACCTTAAAATGAAGATGGAAAATTCACGCAAACTATATACAGTGATAAAAAAGATAGTAAAAAAAATGGGGAGTCACAGTCGTACCCCAACGGGTCGGGAGTAAAGAGCATCCTCAGGCAAATCAAAATCCAACATTTCAGGCTTTGGCACTATTGCTTTCTGCCCTTGCCGACCTGAGGAACCTTTCCCATTTGAATATCTCGACATGGCGATGGCGCCTTATACAGAGTAGAATTATCGGTATCTATTAACAGAATCTAATGGCTGCTGCTGACATAAACCGCTTTCACAGATACGTACAGTTGCAGAGCACAAAATCAGCCGAAAAAAAAAAGAGAGAGCAAACCAGTCATGCAAGACAAAAGCAATTAAAGTCTGAATTTTACTTTTCTGACTAAAAAAAGAAGAATTTTCTGCTGGGATTTCTCACCGTCCAAACGAATTCAAGAAAACAGAAAAGATTGACCGGAAAAACAAAGGCCCCCTAACAGTTTAAGTTGGTTTTCAAAGAGACGAACTTTACCGAAGAAGACGACGGAGGAGGAGGAGGTAAACTTAAATGCGAATGACGACTGATGACACCGGAGGTTTGAGTGTCAGCTGACCGCAGAGGAGGAAAAGGGTGGCGCGTGGGAAACAGTCGCGGCCAGGCATAAAGAAGAGAGAGAGAGAGAGAGAGAGAGAGGTAAAATCATAAAAAATGGGTTCTTCAGTTCGGTAACGGCGTTTAAGAATGAAAAACCCTTTTTGCAGATTAGATTCGCTTTCTCTTGCGCTTCTGAAACAGCGAGTTACTGCCTTTGGGGTGGTGACTGACATCGGCATTCGTTTTCCTCTATACTATAAATTAAATTAAATAAGAACAGGGATCATGCTTACATTTTTTCCCTATTATTAAAATAAAAAAATTTTAAAATTCAGATGTAATTTTATCTTTTGTAACTTATTTATATGTTTAATTCTTTTCAATATAATAAAATAAAAAGAAACCATGAAAAACAAGTTTATTTTCTTTCTAAATTATACACAATACTGGATACTTGCATCCGTTTCCATTCACTCAATAGAAATTAAAGTACAATTCTTCCTTTTCCCTGGTTCAACAGCTCTTGAACATGTAATAATAATGCAGTGGCATCTGTAACAGTAAGAAGCATCATCCAATAAAGATCCCAAAATCAAGCAAAGAATGTTGATTAGATTTTTTTTAAAAAAAAAAAGAAACGAAAGAAGTGTACATACAAATTCTACAAGGGAAACACAGGTACCTTGCAAAAGAAAAAGAGAATTTTTTGTATCAATATTGAAAAGCAAAATAAAAGATTACAATGTATTCATTCCCACTTAATTTCAGAAACGAAAGCAAGCACCCCCCCAGAAAAAAAGTAAATGACCGACTGTCAGTATGGAGTATTGATGGATTGGAAACCAGCTTGGGTAAGTAAAAGACCGAAGAAAAGGGGGGGTGGAAAACAGTAAAACCTGACCTGAACAAGTATTTCGATTAACCATCCTGAAACAATTGAGTATGATACACTCAAGTTTACAACAGTCAAGACTGCACCATAACTACCAAGGTAGAGCATGTTCCAGCCGAAAAATAAGTCCACAGTTAATCATAAGCCTCAGCACGACCCATACCCTTTTTACCAGAAACACCTCCTTCATCAAGTTGTAGGGTCTTAGGATTAAGAGGGATAGTACCAACCGTTAGAAAACCAGAAGATTCAGTAAATCCATTGACTTTCACAGGCATTGATCCCACAGTTACTACCTCAACAGCTTCACTATCCATAGCAGCAACTGCAGCATCTGCAGAGGGTTTAGGCTCAGCTTGCTTTGGATTTATAGTGAGTGAGCCAATCTTTAAGGTAGATACATCATCTTTGGCTTCCACTGGAATTCGTTCTACGTTTTCATTCATGGTTCTTGCATTAGTTATATCAGAATCTTCAGAAACCTGCTGACTAGAAGAAGGAACAGTTCTCTTCAACATGTCAGGATCACTTGGCTTCATAGTTATCTCATTTTCATGCAGAAGTAGCTCAACATAGTTTGGCTTATTGGCAGGATCCAATGCAGGTGCTAGGATTGGGCTCTCAAAGCTTTTAATTAGTAGTCTGGCTTTCTCTTCCTGCATGATTTTCTGACGATTTTCATAGTACATAAAGTCATCGAGTAAAGAGGTCTTCATTGTGTGATTTTTGAATACTTTCAGCATCTCCATACCTTGCTTGTACACTATCTGCACTTGAGGAAACATTTTATAAGAAACAAATCGAAATTCGCAAGTCCAGATTGCTATGGCAGGACCCAGAAGCAATAAACTTTTAACAGAAATGTTCATTGTTTGCCTTCATTTAGAAGAAAGCAAAACCTCTGAACATACCTCTTGCGTATCCCTGCTATTAGTCACTGGCTTGTTTTCATTGTTCTCTAATATGATGTGCCTAAAATGGCTATTCGGAACATCTTTAATGATGTGCCACTTGACAGGGAAGCTTCCGCTCCACTTATCTTGCTGCCAGAAATCCATATCCTTCTGGAAGTCAACTGGGCCAATCATCTCTGCAACACCACAGAATTGTCCACTGGCATTAACCTGCACACACAAGAACCACATTGGAGTTGTTAATGAATACCACAAATCACATACACCACTTCTATTTAACAAAAATCTAGAATGGTGTAAAGGCAATATTAGTCCTTAATAGCCAAACAGGTATAGAACTCACAGAAAAGAACAGGAAGATGGGGCAGCCGCTAGGCCTTCCTGCAGCTAATTTCTGCATGTCTTCAAAAGCACTCTCTAGTTTCTTGTTTCCATGGGGTGTAGATGACCAAACATTGTATTTGATGCTCTTGTGTACATCATCCTCACTATAAGATTTTATTACAAAAAACTTTGCATCAACATAGTCAATTGGAAAATCATCCTTGTTATATTGGTCAGTATAGATAATAATGTTTCCTTCGGCATCAGTATTTCCTGCTTTAGTTGTGTAAGCTTTAACCATGAGTTGGTTTTTTAATCTGTTGGTTCTAGGGCCTCGATTCTGTTCACCCAATGTATCTGGGAATCCATGTGCATCATTCAAATCCCTGCCAACATGGATCTTGGGTCGAAGCATATCCAATGTACCACGTCCAGGAGCACTTGAACCATAGTCAGAAAATGCATTACCAACAGGAAGATCCGCTTTTAATTGATTACGATGTGATGGAAGTTTCCCACCAGGAATGTTGCCAAAACCAGAAGCAATTCTACCCTACAAAGATAATTAGTACATCAGAACCTTCAAACATGGCATTTGGTGACAACCTATAGCATTTCCATCAAAACTCAAGAAAGTCCAACACAATTAAATTTAATTTAGAAACTAAGCAAATGTACCTGATGAGCACGTGCTGAAGCTAGACCAGAACTATCAGGAATGCTTCCATGGATACCAGATTGCTTACTTTGTCCATCCGACACCCTGGTCAAGGAATCAGTCTGATTTGGGGCAGACTTTGAAGAGTTTCTAGAAAAGGCTGCAGATGCTGAAGCAAGGTTATGTTTAACTCCTCTTCCATCAGGTCTATTGGCAATTGATGCACGAGCATCTAACAAAGAGTCTGTTGAACTATTTGGGATGCCATCTGGTTGAATGACAACAGGAACATAAGCAGATGGAGATACAGGGTTTTGATATGGGGGAAGGGTGTAATATTGTTGCGCCCCTATAAATGAGCCGTCACCCATCACAGCACCAGGTATGTAAGGATTGTATGGGTTGTATGGAGACTGTACATATCCATAGCTAGGTGTGTAATATACATAAGGCAAAGTTTCAGTTTGGGCACCCTGAAGAAGAGAAAGTAGGCCTTGAGCAAATTTTGAAATGGCAAATCACTAAGATGCAACTTATCGCAGATGCACATCTGACTATGCAAATGTATATCTATTGTAGAGCTAGAAAGATTAGTTTACCCACCGCATATTGGACATCTGGACCATCTGCACTAAAAATATTCTGGTGGTCCTCCCATTCAACGGGTGATTCAAAACCTGTCCAAATGCAATCAACAGTGTACACTTGAGATTTTATAGGAATTACCCATTAGCTTATACTTAAGGCATTTAAATTACCTGTACAGTACAATCCATAGTTGGTGGTAGGGTAGTATATTCCCTGATCAATAACAAACTCAGGGGCTCCTTCCTGGTACATTGCTTCTAGTTGTTCAAGAAGTGGACTTGTACTAAACGGGTATAGCTGAGCAACTTTGATCTGAAATTCAACACACCAAATATCATTGATAATACATCTACAAGAATAACAACAAGCACAAGAACACCTAAGACAAGCCTAAGCAAACCATCAAACACGACTCTTTTAACCGATTAAGATATCAAATAGCAACAGTCTTCAATTACCGAGAAAATATACCAGGTTTGTTACTACATTATGAGTTTCAGAAACACTACACATATCCATTCTAACAATGCCACCCCTGTCAAAGTAGACAGCATCAATTCTATGCATCCACTACTGCTCAGACAAAGCCCACCAGGGATTTCATTTTACTTTTTCAAACAAGAGAAAGTAACAATGGACAAGCCTATTATTAACTGACGAATTTCAAGTAAAACCATATTTCCTGCTCATAATTACATGGGGGAAACAACCATATTTATGTCAAGGGCACGTATAACAGCAACAGTTCCTTAAGTAAAGAGACAATAAAATAATCCAAACGGAACCCAATAAACAAATCAAATCAAACAGTCAAGAAAGAGGACCCTATTTTGGTCAAACCAACACCCCCAGAAAACCCTTGGGTTAGGAAAAGAAAAGAAGACACTTCGAGCGAAGAAAACACTAAAGAAAAACACATGCAAAGCCAGCAAAGGGCATACAACGAAGCGGATTCCATTGAGCTATTAGATTTGGAAGCAGAGAGCAAAAAGAAGAGGAGGGGAAAAGCGTCATAAGCCAGCAGCTCCAAGAAATCCAAAAACAATAATTTAAATTCTGGAAATTAGTTGAACCAATTCCAAAGAACAACTTCACTGCACTCACAGAATCAAATACCCCTCCAAATACACGCATCCATCCAAAGCAACCCAAGAAAACACAACAAAACCAGCTGAAATCAATCTCTAAATGAATAATTTAAAGCTTTCGCTCTCCAATTATGGTAAAACCGGTGAAGATGAATCAACGCAAATCAGCTTCAAGCCGCTTAAAAAAGAAGGGGCAAGAAGAGAGAATTTTACCAGAGAACCAAAGAATCAAGCCATGGTTGACCTGGAAACTTGCTCCAGAGAAAATTCCCGCAATATAAAGAGAGACGAAGGGGTTTTCTGCAACATTTTCTTCGAAGAGAAACCCTAACCCTATAAAATAAAAAAAAATATGAAAACAAATGAAATAAAAATAAAAAAGGGGAAATGTTAATAGGGGGAGACTTGAAAAGGGCGGTTTTGGGGTGGGTTAAAAGAGCAAAACCAGAGGAACTCGATTGACGATAATGCCCCCTAGTGGTTTCGTTAACACCGAGACTGCCACACTCTTAAACGTCGTCACCCGGCCTTTTTAACTCACGCGGAAGTTCTATCATCACAGAGGCCGTTACGGTGCGCGATGACAGTCCAATCACGTATTTTCAACACAGTTTTGCCGACACTGTTTTGCGTGAAAGGGATTGGTCGTTGGTGGACGCCATAAAAGTAATGTCAACAGCCGTTTTGCCCTTTTCCACTAACAAACAAAATATATTGGCACCGGCAATGGGTATGCATTAGAATTATTGAATTGCTGAATTATTTTCTTTTTTAATTAATTTTTTTTTTCTTTCCTTGGTGAAACAAAGACAGTAGCTGATTTTTTCCCAGTGAAAAATTGAGAATTTTTTTAATTGTTTCCCTCCTTTCTCAAAAATTTTTGTCAATGTAACCATTTCCAAACTTTTCATCCTCATTAAAATGACCATTTTAGCCTCATAGACGTGGGAAAGGCCATTACTTTTTTTAATATATGCTAGCGCATTCTGATTGCTTAGCAATTAAGTATTGACTACAGGAGTGTAAATGCTAACAATGATCCATGCAATTTCTTATTCCATGGTAATAGTGGTTTTTGCTTTCCCACGCTTTCTTGCATCCCAAACAGTAAATTTTAGTTGATAGAGTGCACCAATTTCTTAAAATATCGTCAGATGAGGCATTTGTCATTCCAATTGGCCATCAAATATGTTACCTCATGCTTATTTTATATATATATATATTAGTTAGTATGATATTGTTTATGTATGGACTAAAATTCTATCACAACATTTAAGATGATTAGAAATTAAAGCTTAAATAGAAATTTAAAATAACATCAAATGATACCAAAATTTTTATTTTATTTGTTTAATATGTTTTGACACTTTACATTATTAAAAAATATTAAATAATAGATTAATAAATCAATTAAAATATATCACTTGGTTAAAGTTTTCGTGTCATTTTTTTTTATCGTATGTTATATTTTGATTGGTTTAAATCATGTTAATAGATTCCATTAACGATATTATGAATTAAATAATTAAAGAATTGAGTACTACATTTATTTTTTTTAACACAAGTGCCATATTAATTAAACATTATTCCTAAAAACTTCTTTTCCAATTTACTTGTAAAAAAGGAAAAACTTTATGGGGGTGAAGTCAAAGAGCAATTAAAAACTGATAAAAAGGGGAGGTGAGAGTACAAAATGATACCAGATGGAATGGAAGCAGGAGGCCATTTTAGTCAAGAACACATTTAAGAGTCGTCAATGAAACTAAGAGGAAGGTTCCTTTGGTAGGTATTGCCTTCTGCAGGACGGGGAACGGATATGGAGGATGCCAGAGGAAAGATAGTGATCTCCACTTTATTGTACAATCTGGTTGAGGACGTTGTAGATGCCTTGGAAGGAGAAAACTGTTTGCCAGCCTTTCCTTTAGAATAAAAAACAACTAGTGCTAGCATAGAGTATAGTATAGCATGCACATCCCCATCAATATACTAAAGAAATTGGAAAACAAACAAGGTGTGTTAAGTGACCCTGCTTTTGCCCTTTGAGATTCTTCCCCAGCTACTTTGTGGGGAAAGAGAAATTCTGTTCCCATTCCTTTGTTTCTTAAGCTTAGAACCAGAATATTTTGCCCTCCACTCCAATTACCTCTGTCTCTGTGTGTGTGTTTATCAATCTGGTTTCTTTTAACCCTCTGCTTTACAAAGGGAGCTAGCTTAAAACCAACTATCAAGTGTATTATTCTTGCCATCTGAATCTAAGAAGCAAGTCTATCCCCAAAAGAGAAGAAAATGTAAACTATTTCATACCAAACTGTTCACTTTCCTCTCCACACCCCCCCCCCCCCCCCCCCTCCCCCCTTTCCCTCAAATCTGCTACCTTTTTTTCTGAAAAACTATGTTAACCCTTCTTATTGTAAGCCCTCTGTTCAAACTACGCGACATCAGCATCTCTTACCTTTAAACTGGTAACCCGAGAAACGGGGAGAACTGTACACAAATATCGCAAAAGCTTTAACACCACTGTCTTAAACAATGAAGCAAAACCAATGACAATGAACAATAAACAAGAGTTTCTAGAACATAACACTAAAATGCAGAACCTAAAGTTTCAGAATACTAGCTGGCATTTTATGGTTTAATGACAACTAACAAGGACAAAGCCTAATAAATTCAAGAGCAGTTTTCAGTAACGCAATAAATAATCTGAGTATTGCAGTTACTCACAACATGTACTGCATAACACAGTGACCACCAACAGGAGGAATCACAAAGTCTTCCAGCGGAAGTGGGGCTACCATTGGATAACAAAAAACAACTGTGGTGACCCTAAAACAGAAATTCCCAAAGCAGCAGCAGTCATCAGTGTTGTGATTATGACCACCACTCCAAACCAGATCTTAGCTTATTCTGCATCATCACACTATAGGAATCCAGTACCAACATAAGTTGGGCAGAAGAGAATAAGCCAAAACTGGATGCCAAGCAGCAAAAACAGAACGAGGCTCATTCACTGATGATACACTGGTCGCCCCACCACCAGAGCAGACTTCGACCGCGGACGGGTTTTATGGAATCATCAGGCAATGGATTGCCTGTGTACCCCGGCGACTAGGAGACTTACTGACACGGATGAGCATCAAGCTCTGGCTTTGCAACATCCTTTTGGTCCAAGTTCTCAATTGGCTCTCAATCTGTCATAGCATGGCTACGGCTCGACTGCGCCCGGGATGGCTTCGACTATGACTACGGCCAAGACTACGGCGGCTACGCGACCGGCCAGGACTACGGCGTGAGCACGACCATGAGACCTGCTCGCTGTCGGCTTCGACCCAGCTCCTGCTGCCGACGCGACTGCGGCTGCGGCTGCGGCTGCGGCTCAGAATAACGCCATGTTCGAACTTTCAGGACTACGGCTATAACTTCTGCCCCATCCTATCAGCAATGCCTCTTCTTATCAAATCGTCCCGTCCACGGCCACGTCCCGCCCATCAAAACTATGTACCGATCATGCAAGCTTCTCTCATTCCTGCCCCAACCAACAGCGCCAAATCCACGTCCCCTGTCCACGCCAGAAATGGTTCACCCTCCCTCCAGGACCGCTGAATTCCACCACCCCTAATACCACACGCCGCACCTCCACCCATGCGCAACCACCATCATCACCACGACCAGTGAAGCTACCATCCCTCATACCACCCCGGCCCCCGGAATCCCATCGCCAGACCTATCATCCCACCTCGATCCTTCCCAAAACCAGGCCCACCACGAGAAGCTATCTCTCGTACCTCAGGGGGCACATGCTGGTTAGCTCTCTCCAGAACTGAATCAAATCAGGGGCATACTTCCAGTCCTGCTCAGAGAAAAAGGTGTAGACACACCAGTTGCACCTGCTCGTCCAGTTCTTCAATTCGGTGAACATAGTCCTCAATCCCAGTAGGGAAATCATAATTAACAACCACCCTGTGGCATGAAAATTTTAAGAATGCAATATTTTCATTTAATGACTAAAAAGGTTCCAAACACAAAAAAAAAAGTGGAAAAAATAACTAACCTTATATCTTTTATGTCAAGCCCACGGGCAGCAACATCAGTAGCAACTAATATTGGGGATTTCCCAGTTCGGAACTGACTCAAAACCCAGTCCCTTTCATTCTGAGATTTATCACCATGGAATGCAGCAGCTCCAAAGTTACGTTCAAGACTACGAGCAAGCTGGTCACACAACCTCTAGTGGAGCAAAAATAATAACCTTTGAACCACGTTCTTGAGCTTTGAGAATCTGCTCCAGGCGCCTCTCCTTCTCCATCTGGGGAACGACCTCAACATACTGCCAAATCATCAAAAATTTATAAGCTAAAGGGAAAAGCATTTGTTAATAACAGTTTCCAAAGAGCTCAGACCAAGCATTTTCTTGAAGTTACCATTCCCACAAGGATATACATAATGAACTAATCTCAATGTTAGAAGGTAAAATCAGGATTAAATCCTAGTCAAGACAACAAAAAGTATTTTCCATGACAAATCTCCTACATATAAGAGCTAAAAGAATTTCAATATTTGAAGGTGACCCATTATCCAAATTCCAATTAAACCATCTACTCTACAACATTCCAATACTAACATTGCCATCAATGCTACCAATGAATGATCTTAAGAGTATACCTGTGTGATAGCCTTATTGGCAGCAAGCTCATCAACACTGCCAATATTCACCTGGACAGGATTGACAAGGAGGTCACTTGCTATTTTTCTAACTTCTTTGGGCCAGGTTGCCGTGTACATCAGAGTTTGTCTGCGAGGAGGTATCTCATTTACAATCTTGCGGATCTGGGGCTCAAAACCCATATCAAGCATTCGATCTGCCTCATCTAGAACGAGGAGTGAAACCTGCCCAAAGTCAATCTTCCTCATTTCAAGGATGTCATTTAGCCGACCTGGAGTTGCCACTACAATATCAGCTCCTCGATCTAACTCTTTCAATTGAGTAGCCTTTGGAGCTCCACCGTACAAGCACTGAAAATGCATTTGAATCAATTGGAAAACCCAATTTAGATAAAAGGAAATAATAAGCTCCGGCTGGTTTGTGCGTGTGAATGAGTGAGTATTGTATTATATTCTGTTCTTATTTTCAGAAAAAGAAAAGATCAATTAGCAGCCAAGCCCCACCGTGCAAGAGACTCTTGAAGATCGGCCAAATTTAATGGCCTCTTCTTGTATTTGTGTAGCAAGCTCCCGTGTTGGAGCCAAAACCAACACTGTTGGGCCATTCTGAGGGTTATTATGTCGTTGCCTCAGAAGAATGAAGGCAGGAATCAAGTAGCCCAATGTTTTACCAGAACCTGTTTTAGCAATTGCCACTATATCCCGACTTTGTAGTGCAATGGGCCATGTTTGTGCTTGTATCGGTGTGGGAGATGAGAAACCAGCAGAATGGATCTGAAAGAGAGTATTAACATAGATAGTGAGTACTGACAAAATTTCCATTGGATCTTATATGTTCTTAGAAGAAAATAGACCATAAAACACCCATTTCAGTTATCATGAAGTTTAACAAAAAATTCATGAGTATATGGTTGCTTACAGAAGCAACTCGAGGCAACAAAAGAGGGCAATAAAGAAATAAGAGGCGGAGCCATTAAGCAAGGTCCCAGTCACATCAAGTGTGATTTGGATGAAGGGCCAACCACCCTTCTAGAAGATGCACAAGAAAGGCTCCAACTGTCCATTTTGCAGCCTCCAAAAATGAGAATAGTTGTTGCATTTGTAAGTGTACCAATTGCAGTGCAGCGTACGACATATGCTCCTCCTCCGGAGCAGATATCGCACCTGCGACAAGCAAAAAAAATAAGTTTAAAATAATAAAAAAGCAAAATAACACCAAAATTGTACAAACAGCATCTCATATATGGTTTCCAAACAAAGGTTTAGGATCATGGCATCTGCAAATTTTACCTCTCTCAGTATCTCGGAGGAAACCAGTGTCTTCAATCTTATGAATGGTCTGGAACATTGTCTCCCTATGCAATTTAATAAAGAACCAAAGTCATGAATAATCTAAATTGATAAAAGCATTTGAATTCTTCAACATTAAAGCAAAGACAATTCCTCGAAGATGACAAGGAATGGAACAGCAAATTCAGAGGATGAAAAGTAATGCACAAAGCATTAGGAGATTTTCAAGAAATAATATTTATCCAACCCCCTTCCCATGTGGTTTCACAAAATAAATGTAGCTTGGGGCAAAAATTAGCCTCACAAGTTAAGACCTAGGAGTTTATGTTATTTATAAAATGCCAGTGCCAGCTATTGTTATTCTATTCTAGTCAACTAGCTCATGCGTCAATGTATATGAACCAACAGGCATTTTTCACATTTCAATGATAACACATAAAGTCAAACTAACAAGTTGATAGACAAACCGTTGCCGTGACTTCATGCTGTTTACGATATGCTTCAGCTGGAGACAGATTAGCAGTATCTGCAGATCCAACAAATGTGGGCCTCATCAAGGCATTATTGAATAAGGTGGACCAGCATGACCATACATGTTATGCATGCATGCCCTGCTATAGCATTGAATCCCCCACCATGACCAGGTATGACATTTTGAGGTGGCAGACCACCCACCCTCATCTCCTGAAAAGAAAAGAAGCATTAATGAGTCGATTGCATAAACATATGAATTATGACATGTCATCAATATAATAAATAGAAAAAGAATCCAGAACATGGATCTCTATTTCTCTTTACCACACACACCAAATGACTACCCCATCAATTTCCAGTCAACCCTCTGAGAAAGTGAGAAGTACATATTAACATTTCTCCTTCCATAGAAATTATGACAAATTTTGATGGGAGAGCTGGTATATTAAGAATTCAAATGGATCTCAAATTCAGCAGACACCTGAAACTATGGTTAATTCCAAAACCTTTCTTTATGTTAATCCTGCCTCTACATATAAGCATTCATATCAACATTAATCCTAATCAAGAGGTGAAACTGCATCTTTCAAGAAAAAAAAAAAAAAAGAGTGTAAACTGCATAAATCATCAGGTTCCATGCTTTTGATTCTAGAAGCAACATGCTCCTGCATCAGAATACAAGCAATTTGGCCAATAAGTAACAATTGGTATTTGCACATACCAACATAGGAGAGATTTTCCCAATTAACAACCAATATGACCGCCTTATGATGCCAATATTTTTTTTTTCAAAATTGAAAATACTAGTTGATATCTCACCATGGGTCTAGCTGAAAGTGAGGGCTGCTGTGGACCCATCATTGGCCCATCTTTGGTACCATTTAAGTAGTAATCATTTCCGGTCCTGCCATGTAGATTATCTTCATAACTGGTGTTTAAACCCGATGGAGGAATATTAGACTGCATGACGCCAGGGCCCATATGATTCTGAAACCTACGACCCTGCTGCTGGTGAACCAAATCTGCTCCAGACTGTTGTGAATGTGCCATAGGGGTTGGCTGCTGCATATTGATGAAAGAGCCAGTAAACTGCTGAGCTTGACCCATATATAAACCTGTCTGTGGCATCTGTACCGAATTGGTTCCAGACGAGACATTCTGAGAAGATGACGTGCCCATCTGTTGAAACTGGGAAGAAGAAAACCCAGTTTGATTTGCTAGTTGAAAATCAACATCCTCCCTTTTGGGAGGTGCTGCCTTATAATCCTCTTGATTTGGATACTGTTGACCCTGTGCACCATGCAGCTGAGAACTTTGTTGCCCCTTTGGAAGCACGCTTTGTTGATATGCCATATACTGCAAATGCTGATGTGCATATTGATGTCCTTGGGGTTGTGCCATTTGAGAGTTCTGATGTTGCATTGTTTGCTGCCCTAGCTGCTGAGGCATCTGATGAATGGCCTGTTGGGGCATCAGCGGTCCTGGTTGCTGGCCTTGCTGCTGTGGCAAATGCTGACTTGGCTGTTGAGGCATTTGCTGCCCCATTTGAGACATCATTTGCTGATTTGAATGTTGAATTACCAGTGGCCTATTTTGCTGTGGAATGAACTGCCCAGGTTGTTGTATGGGCTGTCCCATTTGTGAACTTGGTTGTTGTTGTCCCTGCTGGTCAGAAACATGCAGTGCCATTGAACCTTGCTGTTCAGGTAACTGGCTCATTTGTTGCCCCTGCTGTTGTGCACCCTGGGGGACTTGCTTTTGGGCCATCTGTGCCACCACACCATTAGGTTGCACTGAGTGCGCAACTGGAATTGGAGCTAGCTTAGGTGTGGAAACCGCAGGAGGGGGACCAGGTGGCAAGGGTGGAGGCAAACTAGCAGGTCTTTCATACTGGGTGACGTTGGTCTCAGGATTCCAATAATACAGCAGGCCAGTGCTTCCATCAATCAGCCCCTTCCACGGTTTCGGTAGAGTAGGATCATCAGGTGCATATCTTGGACCAAGAGTGGCTGGTGCTGCTTCTGCTGTCGCCATTTCTCCAATATATATATATACCTAGAACCACATAAAATTGTTACATCTAGAACTAGCAAAAAGAAAAGCCACCAAACTCTAGATGGTCTGATGCAATCTTTTTTGGATTATGAAACTAAAAACTTAGGTAACAATCCCATGAAAACAAGTAAAGCTTCAGTTTATCAACAGATAAAGTCGAAAATTTAGTATTTCTCTAAATCCATAAAAGAAAAAAAGGATAGTACTATCCAAGACATCGAGATGAAACCCTAAAAGTAGCAACATTTAACCGTTATAAGTAATCTGACCTAATAATAAAAACAATTAAAATTTAAGACCGAAAGAAAGTGCTATTATCATATCAACAAAGAAATTCTTTAGTTAGTAGCATTTCACACTAGTCCTAAATCATCAATGAATCGGACCATTAAAGAACAATAAAGAACAAGAAAAGGTAATTGGATTGAGTCCAGAAGCAGCAAAGCTAGGAGGACTTTTGCTTACCTCGTTGAAGAAAAAGGAAGATACTTCTTAACTTCGAATATTAAAAAGCAAAAACAATAATAACATTAATAATAATCCCCTCTAAATGGAGAAGCGACAATGAAATCAGAAAAAAGGAAAAATCGTAAACCCTAAATCAAAATCTGGAGAACAAAGGAAAGAGGAGAGGAGAATTTCACTTTTTTTTCTTATTTTGAGGCATTATGGAGTCGATGTTAGGGTTATGGAGAAATTATTACCTAGCGCGACGGTCCACGTCCGACGCCAAACCCTCGGATTTTGATTTGATTTGGAAAAAAGATGGGGAAGAAAGAAAATGCCTTACAACATGTTGGGCCGCCAGGCCCATAAAAAGCAGTAGGAACGATGTGGAGCCGAAGACATGGGGAGGACAGCTGTGGCGGTTACACGGATTGAGCCGTATGTATGGGCCGCCCTACTTCGAGGCCCATGTAATTGTAAATTTCAACCCAAATCCAATATCAATGTAAGGGTAGAAGGCGAATGGAAAGAATGTAGGCGGGGTTTTCTCATAATTTGGAGAAAATATAGAAAGGCCAGAAAGAATAAATTAAAAAAAAAAGTTTCCTGGAAAGTGCCGGTGTTTTCTCCCGAAAACGAGGGAAAGACGTACAGTCTCCAAGCCGACAGCAGTTTAAAATATAGGCTTCCGCCGCCTTGAAGACTACCGGAACTGTCTAAACTCTTCCATCATTTCCTTCTCCCAACGCCAACTGAAACTGAGGTAATCACTGCTCCGGAGCTATCCCTTGCTGATACAGAGATCAACTGGGCTAGGTAAAATACTTTCAACTAATCTTCTCAGAACGAAACTAGCTTAAATGGTTCGATTCTGGGTATTTATGCTTATGAGTTGTACGCTTAAATTCAGGTTGGACAAGACAAGGTTTCACGTTATAGGGGCTATTCTTTTTACTGCACAGCAAGCGTTGATACATCCAACCGCTGTCGTCAAGACTAGAATGCAAGTGGCTGATTCTCGGTTCGCTCATATGCCTGGAATGCTTGTCTTTAAACATATCTTGAGAAATGATGGTATCCCTGGCATTTTCCCAGGTTTTGGAACCTCCGCGATTGGATCATTGCCTGGCTTTGACATCTCTTGAAATGTCGAAAGATTTGATGTTGAAATATACGGAAGGGCTGGATATGGCTGAAGCAACACGTATTGGTCTTGCAAATGGAGTGGCAGCCATGTTCTCAAGCTTAATCTCTTCCCTCTACTTTGTGCCATTGGACGTGGTAGGTGATTTGACTCTTTTTTATATCTCGCAACATTTGGAATTATTAATTTAACTGAACATCAAATGACAATGGAAATCTGAAGAGGAGAAAATAAACAGAGATATAGAGCTGAGAAAGGAAACTCTCTCTTAGGCCTTAGCATTTCGCGGCTTCCTTACTAGATCATTTGTTGCGTTCTCAGATATGCCAGAGACTTATGGTGCAAGGGCTGCCTGGAGCAACATTTTACAATGACCCTTTTGATGTTGCACGTAAAGTGATAAAAGCTGAAGGATTTCGTGGGTTGTATAGAGGCTTTGGACTAACATCTATAGTCCTATTGGAAAATTTATAGTTGGAATGGAATGTCTTTTGCATGTCACTCTGAGAGAAACTATAAAATGTCATAATGTACGGTTGTAGGGAGTCAATAGTTTAGTTGGCTACTTTCAGCTCTTGATCTGCTCATTTATATTGTTTTTCTGTACTGCCTAGTCTATCTCTCTCTTTCTTGGCTGTCCTTCCATCAGAGAGGTTATCTATAAAGGAAGTGTGATGTTCTGGTATAGAGGAAGCATTAGTTTGAATTTTTTTTGCTTCCTCAAATTCAGAGGAATCTGATCCTGGAAACTCAACATTTGTTTTGAACATCATGGGAGGGCCTCTTAGATGTGAAAAAAGGTAATGCCATGCTCTCTTGAATTTGTCTCAAAGTTTTGAGTAACTCGGAATCGTATGGAAAAAAGAATATTGAAGGCGATGTAGTCTTTAAAATTTTGATAAGCCCTGGTGTATTTTGGAAATGGTGTCTCCACATATTAATCCAAACAAGTTTTTCATTTAATGTTGGAAGCTTTTTTCTTTATTTAGGAAAACCTAGTCAGGATCCCAAAAGAAGAAAAGAAACTGATGCATGGAAACAGCTTGTTGCTATACACTATTTCCAATTACAACATAAAAAACAGAGACAATTGAAAAATAAGAAAGTGAGATCAGCTTCCATTAAAACGAACAACAAATGAAAGGGTATCAAGGTTTCCCAGGACTAGCTACAATCGAAACAAGACCCACGTAACTCACCCCATATGAGCAAACCATGCATGGGTCAGGATTCACATAATGGAGAATGGAAATGGATCATTGATGTGAACATCATTTGCAAACAACAAAACCATGAATCCACATGGGCAAATGAGAGGCTTGTTCAGGTGGGTTTCTTGCGTTCTTGTTCATATCACGTTTGAAGTACAACTGAGCAGATTCCATGCCAATAACAAGCCATACTAATAAACCAACATAAAAGATAGGTTAATCTTACTAAATATGTTATAGCATAACTTGTCCTGACCACCAACATCCCAGACAGTGAAGCTAATGTTCTTATATTCCACGGTCTCCACATTAAAACCTGCGACAATAGATAAAAGATAAGATCATATCTGTGTCATGGGCAACACTAAAAGCTTGTGTAGGGCATATAATTTCAGTGGAAAAAGAAAGAAAAGACACCTATGGTAGGGATGGTAGTAATAATTTCACCCAACTTGAGCTTGTACAAGATGGTAGTTTTACCACCAGCATCAAGACCAACCATAAGAATTCGCATCCCTTTCTTAGCAAAGAGCCAACTGAAAAGCTTGGAGAAAGACAGCCTCGTGTTGGTTTGGTACTAACAAATCAAGCAAACAAGAAACTTAGTCAGGAATCCAATCAATATAAACTACAACCTTTTTAGTCGATCTAAGCAAACAAGAAACAATCTTTCCCCATAAGTTGATTGAATTCTCAAGTCCTGATCAGAAACAACAACTTATCCATGGAATTCTCCCAAAGTTCACCATTTTAGTCGATCTAAAGCCATTTATTTACATAAAGGATGAACCTTTTTGAACCATCAGTTCAGATTTCTAAGAAAATTATCGGGAAATGAGTTTACAGGCTCGCACGTGGACATTTCCCATTGAACAATTAAATACTAACAAAAATCAATAACATTGAATTGAGAGATTATATTCCCTGTAAAACTGCAGGTTGTATTCTTTGCAGCAGCTTCTCATCCTGCTTCTTTGGAAAAATAAAAATTTTAGCTTATTCAAATAAATAAATTGAGCAGAACAAGATTTAAACTTGAACCATAAAGAGAAAAAAAAAAAAGAAAAAATCTAAACTTTCTAATGAAACCAATGTATGTTATTGATTTAAGATGGGATGACAGGAAAAGAATAAACTTACAATGAAGACGGATATACAATTGGGGTGCCTTAGCTGGTTCAAACTTAGAAACTAAAACAAACAGAGAGATCAACAAGTGAATTCATGGTTGGGAATTCGAAGGAAAATTTTTTTCTTTTAATTTATTGTTGTTGCTATTTTTCAGAGAGAGAACGGGTAAAATAATAACTTAATTTTTTTAAAAATTTACACAATCTGGTTTTGCATGGTAGAAAAGGTGTCAGCTTTTACTGGAATCAGAAGCTCCGCTAGAGGAGAGTTTATTAGATGCCAACTGATTAGAAAATGGAGGTCCTTGTCCATATTTCATTAGTTGAAGTTGCTGCAATTGGCCAAGCCAATTCCTAGTTCCTTGGTTGAAAATTTTCCACCAAGTCTTCAAATTTTATCCATGCCATCTGCTCACAGTCTAACCTCTACACTTTAAAGTCACAGTTTTCCGGATAAACATTCTCTGAATTCCTGAAACATCGACTAACATTACAAGCAAAAGCTTCCTCCTGTAATCAACCAATTACCACGCTCAAAGATCCTCTTTTGACATGGGTCGTGTCTTAAACCTCATCTATCGTGGCAGTATAGAACATTTCTCTTGATTTTCAAAGAAGCACATGCAGTATCAATGACGTGAATGTTATCATCTTGAGTCGGAAGGTAGAAATATCCATTAAAAAGCATGCCTTCCCTGAACAAAACATCAAAATCCAATGCAGAAATCTGTGGTAAAATTACCCACCAGCATATAGATAGATGTCTGCTCCAAAGGAGATCCCGAAAGCACAAATTTGATTGTGGTGTACATATATATATTTATATATATGCGATGTTCTAGGGAGAGGTACCTTGGCTCCAAGAGAAATATTAAGGATTCAACAGATGGTAATCTGCATCTTGAGATATGGGTTTTACTACAATCAACCAACCCTGGGAAGATCCCAAAAGCATATCGGAAAAGCCTCAAGACACCTTCAGGTTTCCAAGTTTTTCCTCAAGTACACTTTTAACAATTTCTGAAGAACTAATCTCGTTTGTAGCTGAGACATCAGAAGCCATGGAAATCAGTCCGAAGGTAGTCTCTCGGACATCATCTCTAGGAATGTGATTAGGCGTTCCGTTTGTGTCATCCTCTATACCTTCATGTCTAGGCTTCTTCTTTCCCCTTTTTGATAGCCATTGTAAACATTCAACTCGACCATTCTTACATACTTTCATCCAATAAGGGAAATCACACAGGCTTGTATACCACTGCCGAGAATCCAACTCGGTTTGGAGGTTGAAATATTACCCGAAAAACGCGCTGAATTGACAGTTAACGAAGGTTTTCTTCTTGTTGTTTTTTCCTTAAGAAAATAGGGTGTTTGCGACAAGCTGTTTCCAGCAAACTCACTTCTTACCGTTCATGGAAAATCAGATAGCAAACGAAACTACGGCTTGCTAAGTTTGAATTAAAGAAGTTGTGCAATTTGTTATTGACTAAGCAAGCTTGCCTGAGTGTCTTGGTGATGGAGGTGGCAAATTTGGTAACAGTGAGGGGAGGAAAACTGTAACTTAATTCGATTCCTTGTCCAGTGCCCAATTATTTACTTATAAAGCTTCTTCTTTTTCTGGTACATCAATCATTAAGATAATTCAAAATAACACGTGCAATGTCATTGAGCCAGACCATTTTGTTGTTGTAATCTGTCAGAGGAGATGGACGAGGTGGCTCTTTCGTGAACCTATACTCACATTTCTTCGACATCTTCAGTGCATCGTTCACCTGTTTCTGCATCCCCTTATAGTCCATCTTGTCGGATAACCTATAAGCAATCTTTAATTTGCCCAGAGTTACATTATAGTCACTGAGGCAATCCGAAAGGTGACTCTTTGACACTTCATCTTTTTCATTATTGAAAAGCTCCTTCACAAGGTGCTCGTTCAATCTTGCTTGTGCGGTTGCTAAGAGTATGGAAATGACAGCGAGTTCCTGCACGTTTGCTTTTTTGATTCTCGACTGTTTTCCGAGAGTAGTTTTGCAGAAGCCTGGGTTTAGTGTTTCATCGCACATCCCATTAAGGAAATTGTTGGTGATAGCGGATGAGGGGTTGGACAGATGCCAAAGCCAAGCCATGGCCATGAGAGGAAGCAGGAAAGCTGAATTGCGGGATGACATTTGCTCTGTTTGCTCAGTTTGATGACAGGAATGTGGGGAGAGAGCTTGGTTTTCAACTTATTTATAGTTGAATCGGATTCCTTGCAAAATCATTACGTATCAAAAGAGCTCAATCGGGTCATGCTGCCAGTACTTGCCTGATATCATGGCCATCACAAATTTCATATGAATACATGCTACCAGAGGGTAAAGACGATTAACTTAGCTCCTCCATTGAATTATGGCAAAACAACTCAATTCTGTTAAAAGTCATGAGCAAACGAATTGATGACAATTCTTTTACTAATAAAACTTGGTTGGGATTAACTTCATTAATGTATACAATTATTGAGTATATCTCCATGATTTGGTACTTTACTGTTTATGTAATTTGTACATTTAAAAAATATACAACCAAGAACATTAGCATTCGCCATGTTATTGAGCCACAACATTTTCTGGTTATTATCAGTTGAAAGAGATGAGCGAGAAGACTTTTTCTTGAACCCATCTTCACATTTCCTTGTCATCTTCTTCACCTCCTCCGTTTCATGACAAATTATCCGACATGAAGCTTGATGTTTCTTTGGAAGCAAGGCTTGCTTCTAGAAAGAGATTATAAGACGTAGTCCAAAGTTCTTTCGCAAGCTTGATATTGTGTGAAAGCGCTGAAGAGTTCAAGGTCCTACCTTTTCCACCAAAAAAGTATACCCCAGAAGCTTCCTGAAATAAACAAGGAGCTAATCAGTTAAAAATCAATATGTTCACTAACTTATCAGATGTTATTGAAATTTTTTCTCAAGAAATAGCGCTTTATTTTATCACACAAGAAGGAAGGTTTGTTACTTGAACTGAGTTGCAAACTTCAGCATGGGGTTAATAATATAAGTAATTCATCCTTTGTGAATGACTAGTTGATGCTTATGACTTGGGTGAGAAGAAACGATAGTCATCTGTTATCTTATAAAACTTACTGGTGGAGCAAGGGCTGCATCAAGAATAGAACTGACGCCATTCTCAGGTGACTGCAGAAGGCCCAAAAGCTTCAAAACTTCAAATGCCAAATGAGAAAGACAAGAAGGGACTTCCCTCATGATGTTGGTCTTTACTACTCCAGGATCGGCAGCACTTCAAAAGCAAATCAAACCAGATTATATTACATAAAGTGAAGCAGAGACATGCTAATAGAAATGTCTTTTATGAAGCATAATAAATATGCTGTTATATAACTGAAGGAGCTATGAAATCCATCAAAAAAGAAATGAAAAGAGATAAATAGTGTAACAAAACTTGCTTAAAACATACGTAACAGAGACATGACAAGATTTATCCGTCAAGCCAAGTTGTTGGTGGAGCTCATATGAGAAGAGAAGCAGGTATACTGTTGAAACAAAATGAAATGTCATTTATAGAATGGAGATTAAAAGTCAATTGCAATTATAATCCATGATGCATGACTTACATTTTGAATACTCATAGATACGAACAAATGGATATTGTTCTGATCTCAAGAAACGTGTCCCAGAAACAGATTCCTTGTCAACCTGTACATCAAAAACTGAAGCAAAGCGCTCTAAGGCAGTTATTTGTGGCAAATATCTCTTAAGGATTTCATGGTATGGTGCAATCACAATCTTCCAAACTTAACGGAAATTGTTGCTAAATTCTAATGGTGCAGACTGTATTATTAGTGGGGGAAAATGAAAAAAATAAAAAAAAGAAAAAGGGCACCATCTGGAGGAAATATGTTGAGTTTTTACCAGTGCAATATCATCACCTGTTGTTCATACTGACAAATAATGTCAAGCAAGTAAGCTATTAACATAAACAATTTTGCAACAAAAATTTCAGGAAAGAGATGCTCAGGTTCTTTTTTTTTTTTTTTTCTATTTCTGCCGGAAGAATCTTTCATACACAACATCTAGAAAGATACTCACCATTTCGATGTGTAAAGGATGTGACATTTACTATCCGAGAAGGAACAGGACTTCTTTTAAGAAGAGGTAGTAGAAATTTGGTCAGACAGAATGCCCCTATGTAATTTGTACCCAACATCCTGAGATACACGAGTGAACTTGTAAGAAGGAAGTTGATGTTTTTTATGTGAGGATAGCAAGGGACAACGTGACAAGAAGCAAAACAATGCAAAGGACAGGAAAACGAATTGAACAATCAATTGCACATTTTATGGGGTCTCCTTTCCATAACAGAAAACCGGAAAGTATGAAAAATTACATAGATTATGCAAAACCGACAGCAAATTGATGTTAGTCTGCAATAAAAAGTAGTAAGAAGTTTTAGGTTAAGTTCAAATTTTACTCAAAGAACTGCAGCATGTTGAACCTTTTGCAACTTGGCAGATATGGTACATACATAGTCCAACTGGAAAAGAATATTATAAACTTGTACCGGTATTTAGCATGAAAGATAGAGCAAGTAATTACTGATCATAGCCTTCAGGTGTGAATCGTGATGATGTTGCCAGTATCCCAGCATTATTGATCAAGAGCTGGACAGAAGAATGCATTTTGCAATCCAGAAGCCACTGCTGAAGTGAGCCTTTAAACTCCAAAATTGATTGGAATGATGACAGGTCAACCTGAAAAGCTTTGACACGGGCATCCTCATTCTGGGTTTTTATGTCTGTCATAGCCTATAAACAACCAGAATTAAAAATCGTAAAATATAAAATGAGGGGCCACATACAACAATAAACTTATTGCATGTATGTATTTACCTTTGACAAGGAATGGGATGATCGTCCAACTGCAGAAAAAAACATAAGTGTTAGCAGTGAAACTGAAAGAACAGTCATTGGGTAGTTAATTAGCAATGACAAGAAGCAAAACTCAGAATAGAGGCAACAAATAATGATACAAGTTGTGAGCAGAATACCAAGCACAACGTAGAAACCTTCCCGTGAAAGAGCGTGTGCAGCCGCAGCTCCCAGTCCGGATGTAGCCTGCAGCAATGACACAATGAAAGAATAATCCAGGGCAGGGTGAGAATATGTGATGAAGGTAAAGATGACTTACGCCAGTAACGACGCAAACAGGCCTCAGAGACGGAGAGATTGGAGGATGGCATCGTGGGTAGGATTGAGCTTTACAAGAAAAGAGCCGGTTGATGTATAACTGCAAGTAGGAGGCCAAGAGCGAGACGGTCCAAAACACTCCCATTCTCCAAAATTCAACGGACAAAACAAAACGGAGAGCTTCCTTCAACTCCTTTATCATAGTTTCCATCAAATAAGATACTACTGGTTCAAGTACAGCTAGTAGAATAGAGAATAGAGAATAGAGAATAGAGAATAGAGAAGAAAGAGTTCCTTGGAGACAAATGGACGAACACGTTGCATGCACATAACAAAAATGATCATGCGTTCACCGACTTTTGGCCAAAATGGCAACTTCAGATTTCTTCAGGAAAAGAGTTGGTTTGTTGGTCAATCTATCAGATTGATTTAGAGGAAAAAGAAAGAAAACCTACACCGCTTCTTTCTTTCTGAAGTCAACGCTCTATGAGTTCCGAGGAATAAAAGGATAGTCTGTTTGTAAAAGAAATATTTTTTTGTTTTTAACACATTTTTATATTAAAACTTTTCTAAAAATTATAACATAAATACTCAATACCTTTTCACATAAAATATTATAAAAATAAAAATATTAAAAATCGAAAAAAAAAGAGCATTTGGGAGAATCCTAAAAAGGGCAATGAAAAAGTATACAAATAAATGAAACATTTTGGCTTGAACTGCCGGAAAAGAGAAACGGAAAATGAGCTTTATAAAATTTATAAAAAGAAATTCACATAGCAACCTTTTTTTTTTTTTAACATTAGAGGTAGTATTAAGATTTCAAATTAAGAAGCCAAACCTAGAAAACTTAGACATGAAAATTTTGCAATTTCTGACACCAAATTTACTTCTCACAACATTCAAATTGATTCAATTCTCCGCAACCTTACATATTAAGACACTAACTTTTTTTCCTTTACATGCAAATGCAGAGCAACTTCCTTCCGACAACACCTCAAACTCTTGCACATCCAAAAGTAGTAATAATAATAATAAAATATTACCAATCAAGGTTAAAAAATTATTTAAATTACGAATTTCTCCACCTTCTTCCCTGTACAAGCATTTACATGGATTGCTGGAAGAAGGAACTAGAGTCGGGGAAGGCATTAATGAAATTTGAAACAAGCTGGGATGATAAAGCTTGTCCTTGAATAAGAGCATGCTGGTATCTCCCTATCAATGATAAGATGATTCCCCGTTCATCAACTTCTTCCAAGGTACCTGTCACGACACCATCATAACAACAAATATATTCATAGTCCAACAAGATGTCTGCTCAAAAAATCTAAGCAAATTAGCCAACATTGAATCTGTGGATTAGTTATGAGAAAACAAAATACTATATCCATTCCTGTCATTAGTAGACTGCAAATGACTTTGTACAAGAATGATTACCGAAATGTAAGTAAGCATTTCATAGAGAACAGTTCATCCCCAGGCTTACCCAACTCAATCTCAAGGTCTTGATCTTCCAAATCCCCTTCTTCAACGATATCATTCTCCAAGGCAGAAGCTGCTTGTGCATACCTTTCCAGAAACTGTTCCTCAGTTTCTTCAAGTTCACTCTCAGATTCCTGATCCAAGAAATGAAAACATATTATTGTTTTCAGAACAATGTATCAATGGAAGAAGAAGACAACAATTTATTTGAAGGCCAAATAGTCCAGTCCTCCCAAAAAACAACCATAGTTCAAAGGCAGAAAGCTGAATTCCTTTAAAAGTCTTAACATTCCAGCTCTATATGCCATTTTATCTTCCCGTCATCAACTAGATTGTGATAAACAGAATCATTGTACAAACTAAACAAGATCTACATATCTCAAGAGTTGGACCTCATCATCGTCTTGGATTTCTTCATCATCATCATCGTTACCATCGTCTTCAGATTCTCCATCATTTTGTTCATCTTCCATTTCTTCATCCAGTTCTTTCAATTGTACAGATGTCTCAATCAGTGAATTAAAGCAATCTCGCAACAAGCCATCACTTGGATTACCTACTCCCAACAACCTCTCTATCATCTTTGCCAGTGTCATCACTGAGAATAAAAAACCATAGTTGTGCTGTCAGTTATTTTACTGGGAGAAAAAGGAAGAGTGGTGGGAAAAGATTTTAGTAGGGAGGAGGAGGTGTTGGTTGAGGGCAACAAATATTTTTCTAATGACATAATCAAATGTTAGACATACCACTTCTCCATCACATTAGAGTTAAGCAACAAAAAGGCTGATAAACAACTATATAGATCATATTCACATATAAATATAAACAAACTCTGCATTTATCCAAGTTCTACAAGAGCCATAAAGTAGGTACTTACCCATCAACTTTATCTCTGACTTTGCTGACAGACCAAGTTCAGAAGAGTGCAAAGCCAGTGCAGATGCCCACATTGCAAAGCCTCCATCTCCCTCCCTCTCCAATATTGCCTCCACAGTATCAGGATAATATAAATAGCATGATGCGATAGCAAGCAAGAGAGGCTTCCATGGTGAACATGGCTTGCTTCTTACTCCTCTGAAACGAGAAAATGCTGCCTGACTGAAGACAACTGCTAGTGATTGCTTCACACCTTCTGTTTCATATGAATAATTTGGGACGTGTAATAATATGTGAACACATGAGCAAGCTCTCCATGTTGCAGCCGGGTATTGTAAAATGGCCGCACTGACAAATGAACTTATTGCTTCAATGATGGATCTTTGTGGCACAGGTGGAGCAGGAGCAGGTGGCATCTGTCTAACAGTAAAATTCTCTAGTCCATACTTACTGTGCAAACTAACAACTTCCTTGATGCAGTCAAAGACAGACATATCTTCTGATTCTTCCCAAGCATGCCAGTCTGATATCAAGTCAGCCCAAACTAGTAGCAATTCTGATAGTTTAAGATCTACAATTACATGGCTTCCAGTAACAGAGAGTATAATGGACTGCAGCAATGTCGATGAATGATCTATGCATGATGGAGGGTGAGATGCCTCAGCTTCCTGATCAATGCAATAATTTAAGGATAAAAGCATAAAGCAGAGCAATGCATATATTTTCAAGTTTGAAGCAAAGGAAGAAAATGTTTTTAAGTCAATGCCAAATTAAAACATTGTCATGGTGTTTGCACCAGAAACATAACCTAGATAGTAGTCTGAGTTAAAAGAAATGAAAATGTTTCTGCAGCAGAAAGATGACATAAACCAAGATCTTTTCTATTCTTCTGATAAATTTGGAAATTTTATATGCGTTCCACACAAAATTTCGTCATTATTAGCAAAACATATATTTCCTGTAAACCATTTAGAGATATCATATGCTTAAGTACCAAAAACTTGAGCAAAATTCAAAGTCTTCTCGTATACAAGCAATGCTCAAAAAAATCAAATCTTGCAATGAGGAGAAAACTGACCAATGAAACTGTGAACCAAGCCCGTTGCAGAAGAGCTGATAAAGCTCTACCAATGGCAGCTTGACCAGATGCCTGCTTTTCCCTTGAGACATTTTGTTCAACCTCTTCAAGCATGAAGTTTTCCCAAGATTGAGCCATCACTGCTAATGCTTCAAAGCCACGGACAACCACCTACCATAAATGCACTTCAGTTAATCAACCAAGTCACTGATGCCCAATGACAATATGCATTCCATTTTCAAACACAATCTGCCAGTAATAAATGTATTCAAAGCTCCAAAATTAAAGCAAACACTTTTGGCTTTTAACTTCTTGGCAGAAACCCAAATGTTAGGTAGGAACTCTGCTTCTTTAAATCTTAAATGCAAATGCACAACTTGCAGAATTAAAATTAAAAAAAACAAAACAAAACAAAGGAGTAAAATGTACCAGCCTAGCTGCAGGAATTCATACTTACATGAGGCCATGGCTCCATGCTAGGATGTATGGACTTTGAGATGGCATCGACCAATGATGAGATAATATGAGGAATATGAACTACTATATTTTCATTTCCTGCCTCCACCACAGAATTGAGAAGCTGAAATAAAATGATGTTTTCTTCATCTTCATTTCCAATCCTACTAATTACAACTTGAAGAAGAGGTAACCACTCAGGTGGCAGATACTCATTCTGAAAAAGACAGGTGAGACATCAACACCACATTAAAATGCATTGCAGCACTAAGGATTGACTAAGAAACCTACATCAAGAAGCCCAGCAATTGCCCCTGCAGCAGCTACTCGCACAGGGTAACAAGAAGTATCCTCTTTATCAGGCATTGCCAATGCCTTAAGCAATGAAGAATAGATGTCTGCACTTATCTCCTGAAAACAGTACAATCTCAGAAAGTAAGATTTATTTAGTCATTGCATTTTGTAAATAGCCAAGCACGAGGAAAATCAACATAATAGGGTAAGCAAATTGGTGATGGGAATCGAATGGTTAAACTAACAAAAAGCTTTGGTCTGGATAAAGTAGAAGAAGAGATGGAACTAGTAAGAAATTGTCTCACTTCAGGCAGACATGATGCAAGCTCCCCAAGCACCCAACTTGCAGCAGCAACCAAGTATGGTGGGCAGACAGAAACAGAAAACAACGGTAGCACCCGAGTAAGGACCAAAGTTGTTGTATATGTAGGTTTTTGCTCCCTTAGAAACTGTTATGTAGAATTATCAATTACAAGAATTGATGGTAAATTTCATTACCAAAAAAAAGGTTAATGGTAAGATTTGTCAATAATGAAACAGAACAGCTAGATTTGCTTACATCCTGCAGGCCACCATATGCCATCAGAACACCGAAACAACTGCCATGATTGACACAATTAGAAAATGAGAAAGATTAAAATGCCCAGTAAGAACAGTGATGATGCAGAAAGGATGGGTAAAGCAGAAGAAAATTAACAAAATGATAACTTCCAAAGGAAAAGAAGGAAAAGAAAGAAAAATCAACCAACAGAAAATAAAACATTTATGGCAAATCCTTCCCCTTCTCTTGCTGATGAGGAAAGATGAAAAGGGGAATAGATAGATAGATAGATAGATAGATAGATAGATATGTTCATTAACTCACTCTTTCAAAATTCTAGGCTCAGAAGCGGTAGCATCTGAAGGAATGGGAAATTTTGATAAACATGGAAGAACCAACAACTCCCCAATAGAATGCTGATTGTTTTTCTTATTCTTTTCGCCTTTCTTGCGCTTCGATGAAGCTGAAGAGCCATTATTAGAACTCCCAATTGGAGGCCCCTGTATGCAAATGAAACATTAAATAGCAATTCTATCAAGATAAAAATATCTTGAAAACAATTATCAAGGACTATCTAGCACCAACCTTTGACATTGAAATAACACCAAGTAAGTTTATTGCACTTTTTCTGGCCGTAAATAAATCCTCCCTCCATCCAGAAATTTCTTCCTAGATACAAATAAAAAGTGCTGATATAAAAGCCAATCAACTGGAGAATATATCATTTGATATGGTCATGATTCACTAGCTTATGACCCGATATGAGGGGACAAAAAAAAGGATGTGATGACTGACAGAAAGGATTATTAATGTCCGTACAAGTTCAGATGGCAGATTCTTCCGAATGTACTCCTCTGCGTCTTCTTCCCACTCTAATATATCCTACTTGCAAGAAATCAAACACCGCAAAATCATTAATCAACTCAACTTCTATTCTAAAAACAATTTTCAAATAGTAGATGAAGATGTTTTCCCTTGCTTTAAAAAGCATACCTTCTCATTCAGCACCAATGCTGGGAAGATTGCAGACTCCAACAAAAATGAAAAATGGGGTGAAACTAATCTCCAACCCTGTTTCCAGTGGCAAAAGCTATGTTAAAGAAATAACTTATTGGACATTAAATTAGGAACACCTAACAGTTAACTTCCAAAACAGAAACGGGTAGACACATATTGAGTAAGCTTTTCTTTTGAATAATATTATGAGAAGGAAATTTTTTTTTTAAAAAAAATGGAAGCAACAAAGAAGACATTTAAGGCTGTTGTTGCGTACTTACAGGGCCTGTCTCCAGAACATGTGAAACCACATCAAAAGCTAGTGAAATAATCCTCTCTGATAGAAAATCAAGCTTCTACAAAAGGAAAATTCACCCTTTAGTTTTAAGACAACCATAAAAGCATCAAAATTATACAGCAGCACAAATAATACGTAAATTAAGTGGGATCAATGGAGAAGCAGGACTCTACAGCATCCAACTTATATGAGATAATCAGTGTTGCCACAAGAATAGTGCACAAACAGTCTGGGAAATAATAACTGATGAATTACATATGAAACTTACACTGACATTTGGGCTACAATTGACTATCTTCAGAACACAGTCTATGATGTCTGGCATTAACCTGAAAACATAAGGGCATGACATGAAAGAAGACTGCGAATATATCAACATCACAAAATTAGACAACAAAGCCCTGTTTATTACCTATCAGAATACTTCCGGTGGCGGGTTGTCAAGCAACAGAAAATTAGCAAAGCCCTCTTTCCAGTCTTCAACCTCAGCAAGTACTCATCTTCTGAAGTATCACCATGATCCAAACTCAATGAACCCAGAATTCGAATTAGACCACGAGAGAAGGAAGGCAGAAGAGCAGCTACAGCGGATGGCATATATGACCTCACCTATAAAGCTAAGTCAAAGGTTCAAAAGAGGTTCTAGAAGACAGAGGAAAACAAAACAACCACGCAAACGAAACTCATAGGTCCTTTTCAATTAAGTAGCCACTTACAATAACTACCATCGTCTTGGGGCTTACAGGCTAATGCAGGTAATAATTATTGAGCTACATAAAATGCCAAGAGGTATACGACTTTGAAATGCTATGCACATTCTTCATCAAGTAAGTAAGCTTCTGTCTTCTATACAACTACTGACTACACAGTGATGAAACTTATCTTTTAATAGACAAATGGATTCTTCCACTCTTGTATAAATAAGAGGGATAAAAGATATTACTCACCGAAAAATATACGCATTTGCATATGAGGAGAAGGACCTTCTCTGTTTCCAATTCTGTTCTACTGTGGGTAGCTATAGCCTGTCTCACAAACCATATAATCATTAATGATGGAGACCCGAAAAATTGATTTGTAAAGGATACAAGAAATAATGAGGCCAGAAAAAAGAAAACAGAGAAGTTTAAAGACAAGCAACCTTTTCAACAATATGATGAAACACTGTCATCAAGGGTGCAAGAATTTCCTTGGCAATTAGTTCCAACTGTGGTGGTACTGGCTCCTTAGCAACTTTAGGATTCAAAAAGTACTGCCAGATAAAGACACAAAATTGCTTAAAGTCCAAATATATGTTTATGCCACATTTACTTCAGCGAAACAGAAGCACGAAACGAGATTTAAAAGAAAAACATGATGGATAAATTTTAAAAATCAAATCATAATTGCATTATGGAGAATTTAAAAGAAAGCAACAAAAGAAGTACCTGGAAAGGTCTAACAAGGGCATGAAGAACTGTAAGGGCATTGACGGTACTCCATTCACAGTTTGCGCCATTGCTTATGAAATTGCTACTTTGAATAGCGGACCGCAGTTCAGGCACAAGTTCCGGCCAAGAATTCTGCTTAACAAACTCGGCAACAACAATGATTCGAAACTGCCGAGACGGAGGCAAAGGCGTTCATATATTAGTATCATTGAAAGTGAGGAATACAATAGATGATGAGAAAGAGAAATAGCAGAAAAATTGGTACCGCTTCGACTAAAACTTTTAGAACCGAAGGTTCCGCTTGAAGCAAAGTTCGCATTAGCTGGCCCTTGAACTCCGTGCTGACTTTCGAAGATGAACCATCATGGACCTCAATGTTTCGCCTAGCGAAATTTTTTAGATAAGTAGAAGCAGCGACTCTTTGCCCTTGATTTTCACCTCCTACGGAATTTAAAAATGAAAAGAGAAAATTAAGCCAATGCGAAACGTTTGATACATATGAAAATAATTTGGAACAAAATCGAAGGGATAGTGATTGGAAGAAATAGAAGAAGAGCGAATTCGGCTTACCGGCGGTGATGGAGAGGAGAGCGAAAGGGAAGTGAGGGAGTGAAGAGAGGCGATCAAGAGCTTCGGTTGAGGAACGAACCACGTTGCCATCGGGGCTAAGCGTCTGGTTCAACAGCTGAGCAATCTGAATCACGTCCATGCCTCTTTCGGTTTTCTTTCTTCGACGGAGATTCGAAAGAGGAACGGCCACTGTGTTTCTTCTTTTGCAAAAAAAAATAAAAAACCCTAAAAATTTGGTGTCCAGATGCGGGAAAGAAGAAGGCGGGAAAATTTTACATTTTTGGTGGTAAGGTAAAGCGGACGCCTCGTCACCATTCACGACTTGGCGTTGCTCACTGCCTCGGCTCTTGCAGTTAAAAAGAAGTCGTCGTCTAGTTACTATCTAGTCATATGAAATCATCTTATGAAAATGAAATGAAATAACTACTATTTAGTTTTATGAAATCCTCATATGAAAATGAAATGAAATAATTCAATGGTAGAAGGAAGTTTTCCAAAAATGCAAATCGATGGAGCTGCGGGGCATCGAACCTCATACCTGTCACATGCATATATTTTATAAATTATGTTAATTCGATTATAATATTTTTATGATTTTTTTTGTGATATAGTATTTAAAAAATTTAAATTATTTTAAAATTTAAAATAAGTTTTTTTAATTAAATTTTTATATTTTATTTTGAGTTAATAACCTTTTATTATTATTTAAAACATCATATAATATATTAACGTGTTATAATAACTAAAAATATAACATATTGCTTGCTAAAGGAGCAAGAGAAAAAATAAATGATCTTTTTTTTGTCTCTCTACATTATCACATAAAATACATACAATATCAAATCTTAAACCAAGTTTTAATCCTTCCTTTAATAGGCAGCGTATCAAAAATAGCTATCTAAGCTATGAGTGCACACAGATGGTGCTTGAGAATTATTCTTTATTAATATTCATAAGTAGCTATACAAAACAAGTCCAAAAGTTCTTAAATTATAAATCCTTTAGATAAAGATACACAGAAATAGTAAGCCATGCTGACATGAAAGCCAGAAGAGCGAAAAGACACGTGGGAGAAAATGAGCGATATCCTACTGAATGCCCTACCTACACTCACGCCACGTTACCTTCATGCAGCAATCCTTGGTCTTTTATAAATGCTCCTTATCTCTCCTACTTTTTCCACACCAAGAAACTGAAAGAAATCCAAGAACAGGAAGTCATTGCTTTTCGCTGATCTCTGAAAATGCCTGGCATCACCATTGGAGACACCGTGCCCAACCTTGAAGTTGAAACCACCCGTGGAAAGTTCAAGCTTCATGACTATTTTAAGAATAGCTGGACTATCATTTTCTCTCATTCTGGTAGGCTTCATCTAACTTAAAAGTGTGAAGGGAAGTATGCTAGAGCAAACTGGCTTGTATGGCTTTTATACCCACGTTGACCCGTTTCTGTGGGCATTATATGTTGGCTACATGCAGCCTAGTTGCAAGGTGACATAGCCAATCGTGGCAGATCCCAACAGGGAGATCGTCAAGCAACTTAGCATGGTGGACCCCGATGAGAAAGGCTCTTCAGGGAACCAACTCCCATCTCGATCGATGCACATCGTGGGCCGTGATAACAAAGTGAAGTGTTGTTTTTACATAGTATAGCTTATTAACTGTATACTAAATACTAATGTAGATTAAAATCATTGATTTTGTTCTAACAAAAGACGACTTGATCGGATGATGTATAGATCAATCTAAGCTTTCTTTATCCCGGATGCACTGGGCGCAACATTAATGAAGTGGTGAGGGCCCTGGACTCCCTGCAGAAAGCATCGAAGTGCAAGGTTGCAACACCAGCGAACTGGAAACCAGGTGATCCTGTGGTGATTTCTCCTTCCGTGACCAACGAGGAAGCCAAAAAAATGTTCCCTCAAGGTTTTGAGACTCAAAAACTTCCATCCGGGAAGGATTACCCGCGTTTCACTTGTGTCAACTGATGGTTGGGGAGACTGGTATACTTCCAAGTATATCCAACAGGACGCAAACATACATATATATATATATATATATATATATAGTACATATCCAGGACTCCTTTGAGTTCCGGTTTTCTGCTTGCAGCTACCATCTTTCACTGTTGTCTTTCAAATATACCATGTAAGGACTGCTTTCAGTTAAATAAAGTTGTCCTCTTAGATGAATTATGGCATTACAAATATAAAATGAAAATGAAGAAATTTTGTTGTGCATTTTCCGGGAGTCGAACTCGGGTCTATTGCTTGGAAGGCATTTATAATAACCGTTAGACAACAGACGCAAGTCGGTGGTTTGGCAGATCTTTAGTTTTGTATTCGAGAAGTTCTGACGCATCGGTGTTAATTCCTATGTTTAGTTTTTGTTCTATTTTACAACAGCAAAATGTAATGCTTCAGAATAGACATGGACATGGTTCAGCTTTAGGTCTTGTTTATTTGCTCCTGTTCGAAAACAGCGCCTGAACTAGGAATTTGTCTTTAATATTGAAATACTTTAGACTAGACGCATTTGAGTATGGAAATATACACTACAACAATACTTAATTTATAACGTTCAAAATGCTTTCGGCTGCCTTGCTGAGCGCACAAGATGCCCTTCTCCAAGATGTGCAACTGGTCGAGCTTACTCCTGAGTGTCCCATATCTCTCACGTAATCTGGGCGGTGGATCATTTGCTTTCTCGATATTAGCTCAAATTGGATGCCAGATCATTGCTCCACTCCAGTCATATACTGTAAAGAACTGAACCTAGCTAGGGCCACATCAGGTTGGAAAAAAGCAAGCTGCAACGCAAAAATACCATCCGAAACCCAACACCTTCTGGCAGTTCATTGCCTTTTTCAAACTCGTGGATCCCACCTCCAGCCTAACAGTCAAAAAGCTCTCCTGACTTATGCAGTAAATCTCGGGTGTAGCCCTTGATCCTTTTCATACCTAGAACTAGAATGGAACATAACAAGTTCTGCTTCCGAAGCTTGGGGCTCGTTACTTCTTTACTCTTTCATCAACAAAGGTTCCCTCTGGTTACTGCCTGTTTGGTCTTGCACATTCTTCTTAGATGTAGATAGCATAAAAAGAAAATGCAGCATCCGCCAAAACACTACCTCTTTACGGTTGTAGCATTAACGTTGATATCCCAATTCCTACCTGTGGTCTTTACTGCCAACCCTTGCCGCGGCATCTGCGGCAGCATTGCTATAAACTACCCTTTTGGAGTCGACGATGGTTGCGGTGCGCCGCAATACAGGCAGATGCTGAACTGCACCAACGACCTCTTCTTTATAACCACTTCCGGGCGCTACAAGGTCCAATCTATTGACTACGAGAAGAGAACCATGGTGGTGTACGATCCGGCCATGTCCACATGCTCGATACTACAACCCCACCATGACTTTGTCATGACGGATATCCAAGCTGTTATTATCCCGCCAACTTCAGACACGGTTTTCGCTCTCCTGAATTGCTCCATCGACTCCCCGGTACTGAACCACTACAAGAATCTTTGCTTCAACTTCTCCGGTCATTCCTGTGATGAGCTTTACGGTGCGTGCAATGCTTTCAGGATTTTCCATTCGCTGACAAACAGTTCTCCTCCGTGTTGCTTCACGGGGTATGACACGGTGAAGTATATGAGCATGAACATCTTGGACTGCACGCATTACACTACTGTCATTAATACTGATAGTTTGAAGGGTGTTGGACCTCCGGATTGGGTTTACGGGATCAAACTGTCTTACTCAGTGCCGGACACTGGATGCGAGCGCTGCACTCGATCCGGTGGGGCTTGCGGCTACGATACTGAGACTGGAGGGATGATGTGCCTCTGCTCTAGTTCTATGAATGCTACGAGAGAGTGCGGTAAGGATTACTTATGATCGTCATTCGAGACAGTAGATTAAGATTTTAACGTTTAGGAAAGTGAACAACATATTTCCAGGGTACTAACAGATCCTGTTTTCAGCTGCAGGTAGCATTGCAGATCTAGGAGAAGGGAAAAAGCTTGCTTTATGGACAAATATTCATGCATATGCCTTGCTGCTGGGAGCATTTGTTTACATAATCTTGTAATGCTGCAGCCTTTTCTTCTCCTTCCTAAAGTTTTGTGTAGTGCTTGGAAGGCAAACCACTTGAAAATTTCGAACCTAATAGGTTCAAAACAGTCAAGAATTTGAGTAGCTAGATGCTTTTATCGAAATTTTGCAATGTAAAGCGATTGATTAAAAGGAATCTGTCATGACCCTGAAACTCCCCTGCATTCAAATTCTAGCAATCAGACTCAGCATTCGGTGAATGGTATTAGACTTTCTGTCTGAAATCTAACCCTTTTTCTTTTCTTTCCGGAAAATCGCTTTTCAGCAAACACAAACGTTGCCTACCAAGATGCGAAATTGTGGATGGATTCAGGGGAACTCTTGCTTGAGAGATTTCACGCCTGATGAACACAAAGTTTTTGGTTCTGTATGGAGAACTTGCAACCCAAAATGACAGATTAATGCGTAATGTCAAACAAGGTTAAACTAAAATTTGTAACCCAAAGTTTGGTTGATGAATAGCTTCAAAAGATTAATTTGATAGCACAAGCATATTTCACCTTTTAAATTTAAAAATTAACTCTACAAAGGTTTTTCTTTTTCATTCGGCCGTTGGCAAATGATTCTATCACTTGAAAATAATGGAATTAGTAGTATGTGAAGACCATGATTCTATACTATGTAACCATCATTCTTCTGTTCAGTACATCATGAATTTTGTCACACGTGTGTTCTTTAAGATTTAGTGATCTAATTCTGACCAGTACTATTACTCTACTACTCTTTTCGTCTTCATTTTTTGTAATTATAATTTTATTTTTCATAATATTTTTTAACCTTTTTCCGTATTAAAAAGCAATATAAAAAATTTTATTCCTATTTTTAAAAAAGCAAAAAGAGAAACAAACGTCTAGTGATGAAAGAAGTATATCTTTACCATTAAATTCAAATGTTGCTTTCATTCAAAAACAAATTCTTACTGATTTCCTCTGTCATATGATGTGTGGCCCATTAACTAATTAACAATGTTTGAAGCCAAAGCCCACCCGTTACCAGACTCTTTTTCATACATCGGATCCCAATCTTTATACCATGGCTGGGCCCCGCAAGAGCCGTTCCCAGAACACAGTTGAATTTTGAAATCCATTTCGTTTGGGAACCAGTTTGTAAATTTTAAATACTTTGGGACTATTTCGTGAATAAGCAAAAAAGATGCTAGCATTTCAAATTGAAAAACGAGCGGGCCTTAATCTTCATCTCTCTTCTGAAGCATTCGTCATCCAGAACTTTTCGTTTATGCGCTCGCTGACGCCACTGTGTCTCATCGATTAACTTAAATCGAGAGCTATGAGCTCCTATTCTTGAGGTGTTTAGATTTTCTTTTTTAATTTTTGTAATTGGATCTTCCACGTTCGACAATGTCGATTTCCAGCTCCGGATTCGTCTCTAAGAATGCAAATGAGAACGAGTTTGAAAACTCGTCGAGTTCGGCTCATTTCCCACCCCCGAGAACTCCGCTCAACTCGATTCCCGATCCGTCTCAATACCAGAAAGAAACGCGGAATCAAGATGAACACGATTTCGATTTTAAAGACAAATCCGAATCTACTCGAACACTTCATAAAACCCCGAGGCTTACCGGTCGCCACGGCAAGCTGCATTCAGAGCCGAACTCCGCTCAGAGTACTCCGGCGAGAAGCGGTCCGCGGTTTTCGCTCTGTGGCGGAGCTGGAGCTTGTGTTGCCAGTAGAGTTACTCAAGTTATTGGAGGAAGAGCTGGAGTGAGCTCCGGCTCTTATTCTAGGGCTTCGAGAGGGATTTCGATGATGGATAATTCCATTTTCTTGGTTGGCGCTCCATATTTCGAGCTCATTGAGGATCCTTCCTTTTGGAGAGATCGCAATGTGCAGGTTTTTGTGCATTCATCTAGTTGTTGTTTAAATTATCGTTTAATTAACGAGTTACTATTTTCATTTGTTTATTCATTTTGACTTTTAGGTGTTGATAAGAATTCGGCCTCTGAGTACGGTAGAGAGGGTTTCAGAAGGATACGGTCGGTGTTTGAAGCAGGAGAGTGCACAAACTTTAGTGTGGCTAGGACATCCTGATACCAGATTTACCTTTGATAATGTAGCTTGCGAGACCGTATCACAGGTTCCATCTTTAATTTACATTTAGTAATCTCATTTTATTGTTTTAAAGGGCGAATGGTGGATAATTGGCATGTTGAGTAATGTGGATGTTTGCTACTTGGTGTAGGAAAAGCTGTTCAGAGTAGCTGGTCTACCCATGGTGGAGAATTGCTTGTCTGGGTATAATAGCTGTATGTTTGCTTATGGTCAGGTAAGTTATTCTGGGGGTTTTCCTAATTAAGCTTTTTGCTTATATAGTAATATCCTGTAGGGCAGGTGTTGAGCATTCTGAAACTCTTTACCTGCAGACCGGCAGTGGCAAAACATATACTATGATGGGTGAAATATATGAGATGGAAGGCCAGCTCAGTGAAAATTGTGGAATAACTCCTCGTGTATTTGAATATTTATTTTCAAGGATTAGAATGGTGAGAATGTGACTCCCCCAATCTGTTAAAATTACTTCATGTTTATACTTTTGTTTGGTGTTTGGGTGGGAATATTTTATTAAAATTTGTATGTGTAGGAAGAAGAGAGCAGGAAGGATGAGAAGTTGAGGTTCAGTTGCAAATGTTCCTTCCTAGAGATATATAATGAGCAAATAACGGATCTTTTGGAGCCTTCATCAACTAATCTTCAAGTAATTCAAAACTTTTCCTTTTGATTCATGTACGGTAATCCACACACATTAAACTGTAATAGGTCATAATGCTGATTTCCCTGCTGTAGCTCAGAGAAGACTTGAAGAAAGGTGTATATGTGGAAAATCTTATGGAATATAATGTGCGGACTGTTGATGATGTTCTCAAGCTTCTCTTGCAGGTAATATATATGGTGAATGCTTGTGCTTCTTCTCTATTCATGTATTGAGAGTCTGAAAATGATTGTTGTCATTTTGCTACAAGCAGGGTGCTGCAAACAGAAGAATGGCAGCAACCAACATGAACAGCGAGAGCAGCCGATCCCATAGTGTTTTCACTTGTATCATTGAAAGCCATTGGGAGAAAGATGCTATGACCCACTTTAGATTTGCAAGGTTAAATTTGGTGGATTTAGCTGGTTCTGAAAGGTAATTATGTTTATGGGATCAACTTTTTCAATTTATTACCTTTTCTTGAACGCAAAAATAATTTGCTTGAAAATTTAGGCAGAAGAGCTCCGGTGCAGAAGGAGATCGTCTGAAAGAAGCAGCAAACATAAACAAATCTTTGTCAACTCTTGGGTAATTAAACCTCAGATCTTGTACTCAGTCTGGTTGCTCTGAAGTCATTATAGCTTCCAAGCATGTTAGTTGCACATATTCCACGCAATGCTATGATATCTTTTCTATGTTCTTCTTTCGTACTAAGTCATTTTGGTGAATGTGCAAAGGTATCACTTGATGTGGTTCTTCTGCTAACAGTGAGGGCAGTTTCAAACCAGCTTTGACATGGATCTCAAGCCAGATCCAAACCCTCTTGCTTGTGTTAATAGCTATACACTCTATTTCTCCCTCTCTTACAGATCTAAAGCAATTAATACTCATGAATGCGTTTATACATAATAATCCCAAAAAAATTATTGTGCAAAGTGATATTCTTGGTGATTGAAGCCACAATCAGAGGAATAGTAGTGGTGTTTGCAAACATAAAAAATGTTGTTTCCTTTAGGGTTGATTCAGATGTTCACTGGTTGGCATTTCTTGACACTATTTTTGATTGCCAAGTTGCTTTAAATGTAAGGTAGACAGCAATGGAGCTGTCAAGCTTCTGTAGCACAGAAAATGTGCAGAAATTATTGCTATGTAAATGGTTGGCTAACGAGTGTTTCCAAAATACCTTGAATATTTGATCTTGTTCATGAATGATAAAAGTATATGTTGAATGAAAGTGTAGATTGAGTGTAAGAAGGTAGTTCTCAATTAACATTTCTTATGTTCAAATTGAATCCAGAAGTTTTTGTTGCAATTAATTTACTTGTTGGTTTGCTGTTTTCACTCTTTTAGCCTGGTAATAATGTCTCTGGTGGATCTGGCACATGGGAAACACAGACATGTGCCTTACAGAGATTCTCGACTGACATTTCTGCTTCAGGTTAGATAATTAAAGCAAGCTCTTAAATTGAAGATAATTCTATTATTTGGGTACCTCACTTAAAGGTTTCAAATATTGATGACTTGTAATGCAGGACTCACTAGGTGGAAACTCGAAAACAACAATTATTGCAAATGTCAGCCCATCCATTTGGTCTGTTTTACAATTAATTCTTTGCGTTGACATATAAAACTCTTTTTCGTGGCTCTTTCTGTTTTTCCTCTTCTTCTTCTTTTTCTATTGTAACTTTATTCTTTCTTTTCTTGCAGTGCTGCAAATGAAACTCTAAGCACACTGAAGTTTGCTCAGCGTGCCAAACTTATTCAGAATGATGTATGTACTTCATATGCTTGCAACTTAACAAGACAAAATTTCTCATATCTATTTGTCTTGTTCATGCATGTATGTTTAGGGAAGTTACAACCTATTGGAGTTCTCATTCACCTTTTCCCTTTTTCCAGGCTAAAGTGAATGAAGATGCTTCAGGTGATGTTAATGCACTGCAGAGGCAAATCCAACAATTAAAGGTAAAGGGTAACCACAGTCTGTTTCTTCCTCAACATTCTAAAACAGTAGAGCTGAAGTGTATAATCTCAAACAGGGCCAGCTGTCTTCCTTGTTGAAGCGTCATAACTTCCCAAACTCTCCAACTAGCTGTGTGCCGAGTTTTGAAGAATCAAATATGGAAGACTACTCAGGAAAAAATGAAAACACAGGAGAGAAAATGGCAGATTCTAGGACCCAGAACATTCACAATAAGAAGGTGACCTTTGTGGCCATTTTATGAACCTACTTCCTAAGGGTGATATGACCATTTTTGTAGTTAATCGATGCTAATAAATGTCTAGCAGATGAAACGCATGGAAGCTACTTTAGCTGGTTCCTTAAGGAGAGAAAAGATGGCAGAAATAGCAATCCGGAAATTAGAGGCTGAAATTGAGCAAATGAACTGCTTGGTACGTCTTATTCTGAGAATCAGGTCTAAATTCGTTATAACAGACAGTCTCTAAGAATTGTATTTATCAATTCTGATGAATTACAAATACTAATAGCTGTTTATATGCGGTTACTTAACAGTGAAGCCATCTGTTTCAGATTTGTCAAAGGGAAGAAGATGTTCAACGGGCTAAAATGATGCTTAGGTTTCGGGAGGAGAAGATAAAAAATCTTGAATTGCTGTCAACTGGCCTAGTATCAACTGAGGAGTATCTCACAGAGGAAAATCGAGCTTTGAAGGAAGAGATTCAATTGCTTCAGACAAAGATTGACAGAAATCCGGAAGTGACACGTTTTGCTGTAGAGAATATTAGACTTCTTGAACAGCTGCAAATGTAAATCCCTTCTTGTCACTCTGGCCCCTCTCTTGATTCCAGTGACTCACCGCTACTCCATTTTCTATGCCAGATTTCAAAATTTTTATGAGCATGGAGAGCGAGAAACATTGCTTGG